AAGACACCAGTGACCCTGGTTGCAAAATGCTGAGCTCTCTGGTGAAATGCTAATGGCCAGGGGCGATGCAGGACTGGGCTGGGCAGGGCTGGGGCAATCGGATATAGCTTCCATTAAACCTTCAGTGCCAGAGTAGCATATTATCTGGTTGCTGTTGCCATGGCATTTTCTCCGTTCAGGAAAAGCCACCTCCTGCATGGTGTAGGATCTGCCATGATGCCCTGAAGCCTTGACCCTGACAGCAGTGATAGTGCTCCTGCCCAACCACCCTCCCATGCACCCTCCTAAGACATCCCTGCTGGGAGGAGCCTCCCAATCCACTGGGCTTGGTTTCTTGGCTAGTGCTTTTTTTTTTTTTTAACACTTTGATGTTAAATATAGTGACTTCAGAAACAGCCAGCACCAGAAGGCAAAAGAGGGTGGTATTAGCATTTTGCATTCAGCAGCATGCTTTTGGTGAGCGTGTGTGGGGGGGGGGAGGGGAGAACAGTCAAATCCTCTACCTCGCTAACAATTGATTGTGGATAGGAGCCCAGAGGTGCCAGCACCAGGGAATGGCATTCAGGGATGCTCCAGGCCAGGTGTGGAGAAAGAAAAAAAGAGGTTTCAGTGGGTAGGGAGCTCATTGGGTAGTATGCCCAATAGTATGAAATGAGCCTTCTGGATTACTATCTGCTAGTGAGGCAAATTGGCCTCTACAAACCAGGTGGAAAGAAAAATCAATCCCAACATTCTACACAGATCCATTATTGCCTCTTGCTTCAGATTTCAAATATGCTTTGTGAATGTTAATTGTGGATGTTCCCCTTCCTCTGGAGAGACAAGAGGATGAATTTCAAGTTCTCATCCCTGCCTTATAGGATGTCCTTTTCTATAACAGCTGTCACCACCCTCCCTCACCCATCTTAAGAGAAAGATAACAGGACCAATGGAAGGTACCCTGAGTGCCATCTAACTAGCCTGCAGACTCCTCCAAGGCAGCTCTTTACGTAACTTTAAGGCAAAGTAAAGCCACATGGTCCCAATACCATTTACTAGAGATTGACAAAGCTCTGCAATGTAGCACTTGGCATCCTTGGAACTGGGGAGAGGGAGATGGATAAGACCCTGCCTTCAGAGGTCAGTGTGATGGGGGAGGCAGATTGGCAGGCAGGCATGAGGCATTCCAGCTCGGGGCTATAACAGGACAACCACCATATTCTGGGTGCTCTGGTACCTGTACCAATGGGCTGTTGAGGCAGTGAATATCACCCTGCTGTGCTGTGACAGATACAGAGCAGGCAGGACGATGAGATAAGCCAGTGAGAACCAGCCAGAGATTGTGCTCTCCCAGAGGGAACTATCAAGGCTCTGTCTCTCTCTGCCCAGCTGGAGAGAGCACAGGGAGGGCATGATGTGGAACAGTGGTCCTTAATCTTGGCAGCATGTTACAGTCACTCAGGAAACTTTCTAAAAATACTGATACCTACCCCCTCCTATGCCAATTAAATCCAAACCTCTGGGTCATGTGTGTCCCAGAAGCTCCTCGGGCGGGTCTCTTGTACAGCCAGGCTGAAAACCACTGACTTGGGGGAAGGAATGTTAACTCAGTCCTTCCTCGGACACCAGCAGATTGTGCAGTTATCAAGTGCTAGACACTGGAGCACACAGGAGGGAGGCGAGTCCGACTTAGTCCCCACGCCAATGGAGCTCACAGCTGGCGGGGCCCTCATTCTGGTTCTGATCCTGAGCTCCTAGGCTGATCCCCATTTCTTCTCTGGGTCTTAGGTTTCCTGTCAGATGAGGCAACAGGCCTGAATTTTCTCTGATTCCCACTTCCTTGTTTCCTCCAACCCCAAAGTCTGTTAGCCTGTTTATATTCTTTCTTTTTTTGGTGATTTTTTTTTAATTGAAAAATATACATAACGTACAACTTTTTCATTTTCACTATTTTTAAGTGCACAGTGCTATGATGCTGAGTACATTCACATCTTTGTGCAGCCATTACCACCATTCATTTTTCAGAATACTCTCATCTTCCCAAAATGAAACTGTCCCCCTTAAATACTGACTCCCCACTTTCCCCTTCCCTCAGCCCCTGACAAGCACTGATCTGTTTTCTGTCTCTGTGACTGTGACCACTCCGGAGACCGCACAGGCATGGAATCAGAGAGTATTTGGCCTTTTTTATTTATTCTACTCAGCTCTCAGCATAATGTCCTCAAAGTTCTTGTTTTGTTCTGTTGGTGCTGAAATGGAACCCAGGTGTATGGCTAAATTGCTGAGGGTCTCACTCAGTTGCCCAGGCTGGCTTTGAATTTGTGATCCTCCTGCCTCAGCCTCCCAAGTCACTGAGATTACAGGTACCTACAATACCACGCCCAGCAGCTCAGCTATGTTTTAGTATGTGTTAGAAGTTTATCTTTTTTAAGGCTGAATAATAGTCTATTGTATGAATAGACATGTTTTTTAAAATCCATTTACCTGTGAATGGACAGCTGGACGGTTTCTACTTTCTGGCCATTATGAATAGCACTGCTATGAACATGGGTATTCAAGTATCCCTGCTTTCCATTCTTTTGAGTATATACTCAAAAGACCTAATGGATCTTATGGTAAGTTTGTGTCTAATGTTTCGAGGACCCCACATACTGTTTTCCATAGTGACCACCCTATTTTACATTCTTGTCAACAGTACAGGGAGGTTCCAGTTTCTCCACATCTTCACCAACACTTATTGCTTTTTTATAGTAGCCATCTTAATGAGTATAAGATGATTTGCATTTTGATTTGCATTTCCTGAATGCTTAGTGATGTTGCAGTATCTTTTAATTATATGTGACCCATTTGTGTATCTTCTTTGGAGAAATGTCTATGTATATTCTTTCTTTTTTGGTGATTTTTTTTTAAATTGAAAAATATACCTAACGTACAACTTTTGGGTTCTTTCCCCAATTTTATTTCAAATTTTTTTTTTTTAGTTGTTGATGGAACTTTATTTCACTTATCTATTTTTTTTTTTAAATATGTGGTGCTGAAAATCAAGCCCAGTGCCTCACACATGCTAGGCAAGCGCTCTACCACTGAGCCACAACCCCAGCCTTCTTTCCCCCATTTTTTAATTGGTTGGATTTTGGTTTTTAAGTTGTAGGATTTCTTTGTATATTCAGAATATTTGCCTTTTATCATATATATAGTTTGCGAAGATTTTTCTCCCATTCCATAGGTTGCTTTTTTACTCTGTTGATAGTGTACTTTAATTCACAGAAGTTTTTGTTGATTAGTTGATTGGTTGGTTTCTGGGGATCGAACCCAGAGATGCTGAACTATATTCCGGTACTTTTTATTTTTTATTTTGAGACAGAATCTCACTAAGTTTCCAAGGCTGACCTCAGCCTTCTGACTAGCTGACCTTACGGGTGTGCACCATCACACCTGGCAGAAGTTTTAAATTTTGATGCAGTTCAATTTTTCTTTTTTTTTCTTTTGCCTTTAACATTATATCCATTGAATCATGGTTAAATCTAATATCACAATGACTTTTATAGTTTTCACTCTTATGTTTACATCTTTAATTCATTTGGAGTTAAGTATAAGATAAGGGTCCAACCTCATTCTATTGCGTGTGGAGAGCCAATTTTTTTCAGCATTGTTTGTTGAAAGGATTGTCCTTTCTCCATTGAATGGTCAGAAGATTGTTTTGTGGATGAAATAGAACAATATATGTTTTATGAAATAAAACATGTAATATACTGTGTGTGTTCGCTTCCTGTCACTGTGACAAATACCTGAGAAAAACAGCTTATAAGGAAGAAAGATTTCCTTTGGCGCCTAGTTTCAGAGGTTTCAGTCCATGGTTGGTTGACTGTGTAGATGAGAAACACATGGTAGAGCAAAGAAAGGAAAGGCTGGGGTCCCCGTATCTCCTTAAGGGCACACCCCAGCAACCCAACTTTCATCCACTAGGCCTCACTTTCCAAAGGTTCCACCATCTCCCAGTAGTACCACAGACTGGCAGCCACGCTTTTAACATATGGGCTTTTGGGGGACATCTAAAATCCAAACCATGATAACAAACCTAATAAGCAGCCTACCAAATGATGCTCCCTTCTTCCACCTTCTTTTCTGAAATGTGTTTTTTTTTTATTTTATTTTTTATTTTTAGGTGGACTCAATATCTTTATTTTCACATTTACATGGTGCTGAGGATCGAACCCAGTGCCTCACACATGCTAAGCGAGTACTCTACCACTGAGCCACAACACAAAAGGGGCTAACTAAAATGTGTTTTTTTAAAGAAAGAGTGAGAGAGGAGAGAGAGAGAGAGAGAGAGAATTTTTAATATTTATTTTTTAGTTCTCGGCGGACACAACATCTTTGTTGGTATGTGGTGCTGAGGATCAAACCCGGGCCACACGCATGCCAGGCGAGCACCCTACCACTTGAGCCACATCCCCAGCCCCTAAAATGTGGTTTTTAACTACAGCAGTTCATCTTTAGTCATTGTGATAACAAGTACCTATAGAGGATTGACTGACTGTCATGTTGTATTTCACATATATTAACCCATTTAATTTTATAACAATTCTGTGGGAGTAGGTACTGTAGTTTTGGCATGTAGAGGTTAAGTAATTTGCCCAAGGTTACATAACTAGTAAGTGATGGGGCCTATATTCAAACCCAGGTGGTTTGGCTGCTGAACTTGTGGGTGCATATACTTGACATGCTCATGTGTTGGGTGATTTGTGATGGCTCGGGCTGGAGCTTTCTGGTCTGGAATTTAGAGAATGAAGGGCCTAGTCATGACCCTGGCCCCCGGGCCCACTTATGATGCTTTAAATCATAAGTAGAATTGAAATCATGAGTGTCCTTTCATGAAAGCAGCACCCTCAGATTGGATCCATCGGCTCAGCCCATCTGCTTGGGTAGAGAATGTGTGGTTCTGGTCTCGTCTCTCATTTCCTTCCTGGGTTTCCTTATTCCAGGAGAAATGTAAAACAGTGTTCTCTATGATTTCACAGAAAAGGCAACTGATGGCTCCCTGCAGAGTGAGGACTGGACATTGAACATGGAGATCTGTGACATCATCAATGAGACGGAAGAAGGGTATGTGTCCCTGCCAACCGGCCGCCCCCCCCCTCCCCGCCAAAGCCTCCCTCTACTCTCTGGGGTCACTCAGAGCTGGTCAGGGCTCAAGGATGATGGGTTCGACTTCCAGTTTTGTTTTAGTCTGTTCACTGATAAGCCATTGATTGTGTTTTTTTTTCCCCATCTGTTTCTATCCCTCCTCCCCCAACCTGCTTTGAATCATAAGTGGAAATTAAACTGCTTGGTTACCCAGTCCCTAGCGGCTGTTCGTCTCTATTACCAAATCTTTACCTTTCCTGCCCTCCTCTCAGCCTCTGCAATCCCTTGGCAAATGTGGGGCTATCTCTGCCCTGGTTTGTTGGTCAAGAGACCCAGGAGTCACAGAAGGCGATCCAGAGTGTGGTCAGACAAGGCAGGGAATGAGCAAGGGGCACTCATGGCACAGAGCAGCTGAGTATTTCTGGCATGGGTGACTTAACCCATGACTTGCCCCTCTTGTGCTCCTGCACTCCTGGATCTGTTTGTTCTTACTGTTCCTTGTGTTATCTACTTCTACTTTAAAGTCCACTCTATTTGTACTTCTTCTAAACTACTCTGTGTTTATCCCAGTCGCACACTATAAGCCTTTTATTTACAGTCACTATGCCTTCTTCTATTGCCAGGTGATTCTTTAGGATTTTCCATGCTCTTCTCCACCATAAGATGGCTAAGTCCCTTCCCAAGCAGCAGAAAAACCCCACAAGTTGGGCTGATAGTAGGGTGCCCATATGCTTCCTGACCCTTACTAGAGGGCTTCTGACTGCTGGGTCCTGACTGTGCAAGAACAGTTGGGACCCAGGCAAACTTACTATCCCTCCATATATGAAATGGCCAATTACTTAACTTCAGAAGGTTGGACCTGCTTTCATTCAGCAGATATTTGTGACATGACTGCCTTGTGCCAGGTCCTGTTCTAAGTAGAAGCAGCATAGCAGTAAGCAAGTCAAACTCCTTCCCTGCCTTCGAGGAGCTGCTAGTCTAGAGTGGGAAGGTGGGCTGTGAAGAAAATAATTAAAACACAGATGGGGGACAGGAGGGAGCAAGGATAGAGAAGGCTGGGAATTAGCAATTTTACATAGTAATCAAGGAAATGTCACCAAGAAGGTGACCTTGAACAAAGTCTTGAAGGAGATGAGGGAGTGAGGATTATACCAAGGAAGAACTATCCAGGCAGAGGGAACAGCAAGTCCAAAAACCTTGGCAGAGTGTATCTGGTGTGTTTGAAGAATATTAAGTAGCTCGATAGTAAAGGCCCAAGATGATGTCAAGGATGTGAAGGGCATCCAGAAGTGCAGGGCTGCGTAGGCACCAAGGTAGCTTCAGCTTTTGATGAGAGGGAACTCACAGGGATGTTTGATCAGGAAGAGGCATGTTCTGATTTCCTGTCCACTGTGTTCAGAATGGCCTGGCTGGAGGCAGGCCAAGGCCAGAAGCAGACAAACCAGGTAGGTTCTTATAGTCATCCTGGTGTGGGTGAGCTTGAGGAGGATAGTAATAGGGGAGAGAGTATGGAATGATTAGATTCTGTATAGTTTTAGAAGGTAGGGCCATTGGTATTTGCTGGTGTGGGATGTGAGAAATAACTCCCAAGGTTGGAGCCTGCAGAGGCACAGGATGGAACTGCCATGTTCTGAGATGGAACAGACTTGTAGGGTCTGCTACCAGCTCAGCTCCCAGGAGAGATGCTACAGGGTGACTGCACAGGTGACTCTGGAGTTGGGGGCAGTGGCCTGCACTGGCCCTTACTCTAATACCATAATCACTGGAAACAGCCTGGCTGCCTTCCTTCAGACTTTCAAAGCTCTTCTTTTTCTGGTGAATTACACAAATACCTATGTAGCTTGAGGGCAGGGGCAGGAACTCTGGGTTCCTTTATTCCTTGCATCCCTTTCAGTTGCCACTTATTTATTCATCTATCCAGATATCCAGCTGTGTTTAGCCCCTACAGGTGGAGGGTTAGTCCTCCAAGATGCCAAAGGGGATGTGCCAGTCTTCGAGGGCTTACCTGGGAGCACTGTTGGGACTGAGGCCAAGGCCTGTGCCCAATTCTGTGGGCTCTGAAAGAGAGGCAGGTGCAGAGGTGTCCTGGAGGCTTTAGTCTGGGGCTTAAGATTGACAGGATGAAAAAGTGTGCTCTGTAGCTCAGGGTGGCATACAAAGGGTCAGTGAGTTGAAAGATACACTTATGGTCTTGGATGCACGGGGCAAAGAGGGAACATCTGGAATCAGGCTGGAAAGGAGGTCCAGGTCAGGTGTGTCCTTTTCTCATCTGCTCTGTTCTTCCAGGCATCTGCTTTCACCCTTTTCCCTCCCATCTAGACCCTGCCTCAGATCTTGGCAAGCCACCTGTTGCCAACAAGTCTCAGGGACTTCTCAGGCTCTTAGGGTGAAAACCCTCAGCCACGCCTCTCTGCAGCTCCACTCCAGGCCCTTCAGCCCCACTGATCTTTCAGCTCCTTGAATTCTCTGCATTCCTATCCCCAGTTTAAAATTCTCCACAATATGAACATCATACAAATATGTCCACAACTCTCCTTTCTCAGTGAATTGCACAAATAGTCTGTGGCTTGAAGGCAGAGCAGGAACCTTTCCAAAGGGGCTGACCTGGTGCTTGCTATCTCAAGCTAAAGCTCACAGACGGTCCGGACACCCATTCCCTCTGGTGGCCCAGGCTCCTGCTGGTGCACCTTTGAGTGAGCGAGGATTTTTCATCTTACCTCAATTATGAGATTGTTGTCTTAAGTCCCTTCCCAAGTGGGAGAAAAAAAAACCACAAGTTGGGCTGATGGGAGGTGCCCACCCATTCTCTCTTGGTCCTCTCTGGAGAGCTTCTGACTACTATTCCTTGTTTTCCCCAGCTGGCCATTTTCTCTAAATGATTCCCAACACTCACAGGATCTGGGCTCAAACCTTGCTTCACTGGCACTGGCCCCCTTCCCTCCAATTTGGACAAGTCCTTCCCTCCAATTTGGACAAGGTGATTCCATAGTACCTAATATAATACTTAAGTTCATCCCAGTTTAAACTTATGCATCAGCGTGAGATCAGTGTCTGTCTTGTGCCACAACCCCTGCTAGTCTGTAGGCTCCACGAGGGCAGGAATTCCATCTCTTTTATCACTAGGTTAGCCCTAATCCTAAGAACAGCATCACATGATCTACTCTCAGTAAATATTTGTTGGGTAAGGGAATAAATGAATAAAGTCCCTCAGGCGCTCACAGTCTTATGAGGAATGCAGGCATGTAAACATAATCATAACACAGCATGACAAGGGCAGAGAGAGAGAAAGAAGCTCAATATGGCTGTGGAGACGGACTAATGCAGTAGCCACCAGCCAGCCTGGAGGCTTTGGGGCCTGTAATGAGGCAGTACATACGGCAAAGCCTTCTTGGAGGAGGAGGTAACGCTTAAATGGAGTCTTCTAGGGTACCAGGGCACCTTCTAGGAGAGGCAGGTGGATGACGGGGTGGGCCGCGGAATCCCCAGGCTGCAGAGCAGTGTGTGCAGCAGACATAGGAAGCATAATGTGGTGGATGGATTAACAGTGCGAAGCCTGGAGCCATCTGCCTGGACTGGAAACCTAGGTCACTGTTCACTTGTTGTACGACCTCGGGAGACGTTACATTTCCCTGTCTCAGTCGGTCTTGCTGTTTATAGGCTGGGGTTACTAACAGTACCTTATCTTATAGGGTTGTTATAAGGATTAAAGGAATAAATATACATGAAAGATCTGTCTACATGACTATGTGACAAAATACCTGAGATGATTGACTTTTTTAAAAAAAAAAAAAGAGAGAAATGCCTTAGTTTAGCTCATAGTTTTAAATTTTTGAGAGGTTTTAGTTCATGGTTTGTTGGCTTTTTGCTTTGGGGCCTGTGATGAGGCAGTACATATGGCAAGAATGCATGTAGCAGAGGAAGCTGCTCCCTTCATGGTGGCTGGGAGGCAAACAGGCCTAGGAAGTGCCCAAGATGCACTTCAAGGGCACCTCCAATGACCTAATTTCCTCCCACCAGACCCTACCTTCTAAAGGTTCCACCTCCTCCCAATAGCACCACAAGCTGGGGTCCAGGACTTTACCATATGGGCCTTGGGGGCCATAGAAGATCCAAACTACAGCATCATGCTATGTAGATGGACTTGCTCCTTATCCTTTAAGGTCCTGGCAGGTGCATATTGGTGAACTGCCCCACCAGCCTCTCCCTGGGCTCTCCTCAATTTCCAGGGCTGAGGTCACCTTTGGCCTGAGGAACTCTGATGCCCGAGGCCTTGTATGACAATCCAGTGTTCATTAACCATGAGTGCCTGTTTGAGACCCTGTTTACCAGGCTTTGCCCCAGACCTGCCTAATTAGGACACACATGTGTATTTGGGAATTGCTCCCCAGGCAATACTGGTCTGCAACTCTGATAAGGATCTTCTGACCTGGGTCATTTTCATGACCATCTCTTCCCCAGTTCACTGAGTCTTTGTCTGCACTGTAGCCTCTATGCTGGAGGGACACAGAAGGAGCAGAGCGAGATCATAGCTGAGCGTGCGTGTGTGTGTGTGTGTGTGTGTGTGTGTGTGTGTGTGTGTGTGTATGGGTGTGTTTTTTCAGGGTGATCGAGGAGAGGCAATGGAAAATGAGAATGCTTCTCAGAAGAGCAGGTCTGGAACTGAAGCCCCAATGGTCTACAGGCCCTGGGGACCAGTGATGAGCTTGCTGTATGCCTGGAAAGCATGGCTCTCAGGAGTCCAGGGTGGGAGGGGGCTGCAAAGGTGGGATCATGGGGCTTTAGGGGACTACCATGACAGGCCTGGCCTTTCCAGTGAGTGCTCCTGAGGTTTGATGCCTCTTAAACTTGCCTGATCTCTCCTGCCTGCTCCATCAGGGCCCTTGACTCAGCTTATCTTGCCTTCTCTGGTTTTCTTTCTTTCTTTTTTTAAATATATATATTTTATTTTTTAGTTGTTCTTTATTTTATTTTTATGTGGTGCTGAGGATCAAACCCAGGGCCTCGCATGTGCTAGGTGAGCATTCTACCGCTGAGCCACAACCCCAGCCCTGGTTTTCTGATTCTAGCTGTCTAATCTGCAGCAGCTCCTGGAGACTTTGCAGTTCCTCTGACCTGACTGTGATGCTCCTCTCTGAAGCTTCTCCCCTGGGGACAGAGATAAATACTTGCTCTTGTGTTCACCCAATCACTCTCAGGCAGCACTTCCCACAACCTGGGGATGAATTTTCAGTTTAAACCTAACTGGGAGCCTGCTGTCTGTCTGATTGCCCCACTGCCTGAGAGCTGGTTCTGCCAGCACAAGTGCTTGCTGCCCTTGGAGGGAAAGCTGTGTCCATTTTTTCTGCTCCATGTAAGTTCAGGAGGCAAGGAAAGAAACTGCACTGAGAGGGATGGCAGCTGCAGGTCTTGTGGGTCTGGGTTGACCATGGATTGGCAGAGCCCTTGAGAGAGGAAATCAGTCTGTGCACCTGGCCAATAACTGCTGACTTTCACCAGCTCAGCCCATCAGAGCATAGAACTACTGCTCAAGTCCAGTATTTGCAGAAATCAGCATCCCTGTTTGGAAACTGCAGCCATACAGCAAACATACTTGACCAGGACCCATTCCCATCAGGTTAGGTCTTTGACTCAGGAGCCAAGAATTCCCATAGGGCAGCTATGTTTCAAGTTGGGAATGGGAAATGGAGGTTCAGAACATTTAAATTTTTTCCAGAAGCCTTGCTGCTTACTGTCTTTCCCTGTGAATTAGGCCAATTGGCAAAGCTTCCACCCTCCCCTCCCCTGACTTCCTTACACACACTTGGAAGGACATCTCCATTTGGTAAATAGAGTACAAATATGTTAGAACTGTAGAAGTAGGAGGACCCAGACTCTCAAACACTCATCCTAGGAGAGAGGGAGATACAGTGACACATCTTTTAGTGGGAGACCGGAGCCCGCTTGTGATAGCAAAGGGCTGGCCTGCAGCTGTGTGGGACTCCCCAGAGCACAGGGTGATGGGGCTCCAGGAGGCAGGGGCTCTGTGCCTGGGGCAGCTCGTAGAACCACATCTTTCTTGAATCCTGGATTAGAATAAATTAAATAATGTCCAGGCGCAGTGGTGCATGCCTGTAACCCAGCGGTTCAGAAGGCTGTGGCAGGAGAGCTGAAAGCGAGGTGCTAACCTAAGCAACTCAGTGAAACCTTATCTCTAAATGGAATACAAAATAGGGCTGGGGATGTGGCTCAGTGGTCAAGTGCCCCTGAGTTCAATCTCTGGTACCAAAAAAAAAAAAAGAAAAGAAGAAGAAGAAAGAAGAAAAAGAAAGAAATAATAAGTTAAATAACATGTTAGAGCCAAACTTTCCTTGTGTGCTTGGAGGACTCCTCAGGATCCCAACCCTCAGTTATAACAGTAATTTCAGAAAGAACTCAAAAAGCTATCAATTTAGGAACAAAGAATATGGCCCATTTGTAAACTGGGACTGCCTATGATTCTGTAGAATTCCTCATGGGAATCCACATCATATCTATAACCTGAAATCGCAGAAACCCTTGGGCTTTGAGGAGACTCACTGAGTTTTCTGTGGCAAAAGGAGTTCCATCATGGGGCTAGAAGGAATGGAAGCTTCAGCAAAGATCTAGCCATATCTCTCTTGTGGTTTGGAAAAACTCTTTTCAGTGCCCCCATCCACCAGTGGGTTAGTTACTATTTTGAGGAAACAACATGTATTTTGTGATACAAAATTGAAAAATGTCTGCAAAAAGTGACTCCAATGAAAAATTCCCCGCTACCTCCACTACCCATTTCCCCTTCTTGGGGGCAACCACTGTTACCAGGTTCTTATCGTGCCCTGCAGAGATGTTCTTCCTGACCTAGACATGTACTGCATATATCTTTGCTGTACTTTTATAACAAATACCATCATACCTTATGTACTGTTCCACAAAAAACTTTGTGCACGTCTTTTTTTAAAAAAATTTTTTAGATGTAGTTGGATACAATACTTTTATTTTATTTATCTATTTTTATGTGGTGCTGAGGATCGAAACCAGTGCCTCGCGTGTGCTAGGCGAGTGCTCTACCTCTGAGCCACAACCCCAGCCCCTGTGCACATGTCTTCAAGTTTGGTCCATAATAGTGTATAAGGAGTTTCTTTATTCTTTTTCCCAGCTGCCTAGTATTCCATTGTGTGGATGAGCCATGATGTAATTGAACTCATTTCCTATTGGTGGCCATTTGGTTTGCTTCCAGTCATGTACATTTACAAACATGGTGTGGTGAATAACCTTGTATATATGCTAGTTGATGCATGTGGGAGTGAATCTGTGGGATAGCACCCCAGAATGGTACTTGGGAGGATCTTACTATGCTTGTTCTTTTCTCAGGCCAAAGGATGCCATCCGGGCCCTGAAGAAGCGGCTCAGTGGGAACCGGAACTACAGGGAAGTGATGCTGGCGCTGACAGTGAGTGCTGCTCTCTAGCCTTGTCTGCTCCACAGGGCGGGCCTTCCCTCTGTCCACTTGGCACAGTCTCAGGCATGGGGTCTGTGCCACTGAAGTTCAGCAGAGCCTTCCGGTAGCACCCTTGGGTTTTCCTGCCTACTCTGACATGGGAGTGAGTTTCGTCGGGTAAATGTAAACCATCAGAAGATAAGGCATGGACAGGTACAAAAGTCCAGAGCAGAGAAGCCAGAGGCTGAGGTTGGTCCCCTTCCTGCCACCAGCCTGCTCTGAGACTGTGGGTGACAGTTTTCTCTTTATAAAATGTTCACATGTGCTCTGGCATTCCTGTAGTCCAGCTACTCAGGAAGCTGAAGCAGGAGGATAGGATTGAAAGTTCAAGGCCAGACTGGGCAACTTAGGGAGACCGTTCTCAAAGTAAGTGTTTTAGTCCTCTTTTTTGCTGCTATGACTAAATGATCCAACCAGCACAAATTATAGAGAGGAAGAGTTTATTTGAGGGCTCACAGTGTCAGAGGTCTTAATCCATAGAAAGCTGGTTCCATTCCTCGGGGCTCGAGATGAGGCTGAACATCATGGCGGGAGAGGGTGGCAGAGAGAAGCAGCTCACATCATGGGGACCAGGAAGCAGAGAGAGAGTTTTCCTCTTGCCAGATACAAATATATATACCCCAAAGCTATGCCTCAGTGCCCGCCCACTCCAGCCACACCCCACCTCTTGAGTTACCACTTGGTTAATCCCTATCAGGGGATTAATTCACTGATTGGGTTAAGATTCTCACAACCCAATCATTTCTCCTCTGAACCTCCTTGCATTGTGTCACACATGAGCTTTTGCGGGACACCTCACATTTAAACCATAGAATTTTTAAATTTTTAAAAAATGTTAAAAAGGCTTGGGATGTATGTCAGTGATATAGTACTTGCCTAGCATGTGCTAGGTCCTGGTTTCAATCCCCAGTATTGAAAAATTTTTAAAAAGGTTCACTTCCACCTACCCAGTACCTGCCCTAGACTGCAAAACTTTCAGATACTGATACAGATGTTTATAGCAGTTTCCAAAATGGGTTTCATTATCTCCCTCGTACAGATGAGGAGACTGAGGCTCAGAGAGGTCTAGAGGTTTGGCCCAGCCTTCTTAGCTAGTAAGGTATTGAGCTGTGGTTTGCCATTATAAAATGATCTTTTGTTTGGGATTAAAACTGAAAATAGCTATAAGGGTTCTTGAAAACGTTAACCAAGTGACTCCTTTCAGGAAGAGTGGACCAGATTTTTGCCCTCCTTAAGATGTCAGAGAATTAAAAGGGAGACTTCAGCTGCTATTTCTGTCTTAAAAGCTAACAGTTTTTCAGATGTGGCAAAATCTGGGCCACAGTGAGTTCTTAGAATAGAAACTGTAACAGGTCAGCATGTCGACTTCTCTGTAGGTTTGAAATAGTGGGTTATTTAACCAAAACAGCCATAACATGTTTCCTTTTAAAGCAACTATTTGGATTCATTACCCAAGTAAACCCCAAAACTTGTTAGGAGAGTTCTCTCTGCCCGGGAATTGGGATGTGAACAGTAAAGGAGAAAATGCTATTGAGAAACAGAGAGTTGAAAGCTTTTATTTTTCTCAGAATTTGAGCCACTAAACCTGGTTCACTAAACCTGGAGTGATGCCCCAAATGAGTTGTTGATAACCCACACCACCAGGGGCTGAGCTCTGGCAGGTCAGGGCATTTCCCTGGTATCTGAAACTTCTTCACAGGCCTGAACATCATCTGACTTTTCCTAATGGTTGGGTTTTGCTGCTCATTGATTGATGTCTTCAGGAGATCTGTGAATGTGCAGAGTCATTGTCCCTGTACCCAGGGCCTCACGTGGCACATTTTGCATGGTCTCACATCTGCTCTGATGACTCCACATGCCCCATTAGTTGTTCTCAGTCTTCCTGCTTTGGTTCTTATATTTTATATTTTTGCTACTGGGAATGGAACCCGGGGGGCTCTACCACTGAGCTGCCCAGCCCTTTTTATTTTTTATTTTGAGACAGGGTCTCACTAAGTTGCTAAGGGTCTTGCTAAGTTACTGAGACTGACCTCAAACCTGTGATCCTTCTGCCTCAGCCTCCCGAATGGCTAGGATCTCGGGTGTCCACCACCACAGCCGGCTGTCCTCTTGGTTTTTGTTTCCTACCTTTGTGTCTGTTCCTGCCAAGATTGTTAGTATTCACCCAAAATAGGAGCTAGAGACCCTGAAGGGCTGTCTGCTCAAGACTTTGTGTATATACAGGAAGCGCCTGCTTCCGATCACATCGGGCCCCTTTGGCTTACTCCACGGATTTGGCTGCACTTTGGAAAATTCCCCCTGGTGTCTCATGGCTTATAAACCAGAGGGACAGATCTTCCCAAGGCCTTTTTGGCAGGTGACCTGAAGTCAGGAGGACCTGCTGTGTCTCCTGCTTGATAGGCTTTGGGCTGCTCTGCAGCACATACACATCTGTGGGGGGTGTTCTCAAGGCCAGGCCAGGACACATTGACCTTGAGGTCTGCTGTCAATAGAACTGAGTGACATGCTTCCTAAAGGCAAGAAGAGTGTCCTCCCTGTGTCCTCCTTGGAAGAGGAGCTAGATCCCCAGGCTGCCTGTGGGCACTGCAGGAGAAATGGGGGAAGCAAAATTTCTGGCTGGCTGCTGAACTGCCAGGGGTGGAATGTCCCAGTGTGGCCTCCTAGGTGCATGACAACTCTGAGGCTCAGTTTTCTCATCTCTAAAATGGAAAAATACCCAACTCACAGGGTTATTTCAAGGGACAAATGAAGGGAGAAGAAATCTGGAATATAATTACCTGTCATCTGAGAGATTCTCAGCTGATGTGGCTCCTTGGAAGCGGGGCTTGTAGGAGGGATGGTTCAGTGCCCATGGGGAAGTGGGAAGACCAGAGCTCCTAGGAAAGTGGTTCTGAGTTTCCGTGTTGCCTCTCACATTGACCAACAATTGGGCCTAGAACCATCTCTTCCTCTTTCTAAGCCTTTTAACTTTAAAAAAAATGGGGTAATAAGGTCCACTTTAAAGAGAACGAATTAGTTGTGAGAATGGAATGAAATTACATGTGATATGGAGAGATCCCTCCTAGTGCCTGGCACGTGGCTAATATTCAGTCCACATCACAGTTCTGGCACTTCTACAGTCATGGTTTGTCAAGGTAAAGTCCAGCAGTCGGAACCAGACCTTGGAATGGCTGTGTAAGTCAACCTGTCCTCAGATGAGTTTGGGCACATGAGAATAACCAGGGCAGTCAGAAGTGTCCTGTCACTGATGATGTCCTTTCAAGGAGGCATTTCTTAGCCAGTTGACTGGGCACCAGAGGTAAGGGTGGCATGGAATGGACCAGGTAATCCTATGGGTTGATTTCCAAAGAGCTGAGAGGGGCAGAGCTCTGTGTTCAAGGATGGAGAGGCCCTCCTGTGAGACCTTCTGAATTCCAAGGGGGTTCCTACTTATCCTATGGAAGAACAAGAAGCTGTTCCTTTATTCAAGTGGGTAAGCAGTCTTCTGAATTGTAACTCATATATAATCGTAGTCTCTGTTGGTCCCCAACCCCACATGAGACACCGCTAACCGCTTTACACATATTCTCTCTAATCTTCCCAACCATCCTGCAAGGGAGGACTCATTGTCCCCACTTGACAGATGAAGAAGCTGAGGCCCTGAGATACTTGTTCTGGGCTGCATAGGGAGATAGTGGCAGAACTTAGTCCACACTGGCCATCTGGTCAGAGCCTGTGTGCCAGTCTTTCTGATCAGCTGAGGCCTATAGACCCATCTGGACAAAGGAGTAGCAGGCAGCATCTGATTTGAACATGTACCTTAAAGCCACTAGCAGCTGAGGCCCACAAACCATTTGTCAGGGTAGAAGATCCCTTGTCATTGCCAACTTTGTTTGCAGAAGCAGGGTATGTGGGGGGTGTGAGCATGTTTGGTTCCTCACAAGTAAGGGGCCAGTAACTCACCAGGCAATTTACACTGTCACAGCAGCCTCCTCTTGTGACAGAGCCTGTCTCTCACTGGCTAATGCCTCACACCCAGAGGCCCAGAGGAGGAGTTAAAATGCTAATTTTCAGGGACCGCTCAGTCATTTTGATCCCATTAAAACACCAGCATCCTTCTCATGCAAAACCGGTGCCTCAATTACCAACTAATTGCCTGATTATTGTGCAGGGACAGGAGACTTCAGTCAGCAAGGGGCTGCTGTCATCCTCGAAGGGACAGCTGAATTAGAGTGTGGGAATGTGTGTGCATGGAGGTTTGGCTCTGGAGGGGACGAGTCAGAAAGATGATCTAGGAGCAAGACAGGGGATGGGCACCCCAGCTGCCTGCCTCAAGTCCTGGAGTCTTCTCCAGCTCTCACAGTGGTGACCCTGCCTCCCTCCCCCCATCAGGTGCTGGAGACGTGCGTGAAGAACTGTGGCCATCGCTTCCACATCCTAGTGGCCAACCGAGACTTCATCGACAGCGTTCTGGTCAAAATCATCTCTCCCAAGAATAACCCTCCCACCATTGTACAGGACAAAGTGCTTGCTCTGATCCAGGTAGGCTGGCTTCCTCACCCAGTCTGTTGGGATAGAGTAAGATGGGGCCTCTACGGAGTCCTCGTGCTCTCCCACCATTTAGAGGGAAAAATGGAAGCTTCTGGCCTTAAATATTTATGGTGAAATACTTATTTTATTTATACTTATCCCACTGGAGTGAAATCCAGAACAGTAGCTCTTTAACCAGTTGACAGAAGCTTCAAGAAAACTTCTGGGTGCTCGGCCCCATGCTGCCCACAAAGGTAGGCAGGTGCGGGGGCCTCAATAGTCCTCTGAGACAATGTGGAGTGGGAAGGGGCATGTTAGAGCTGTGTGCAGGGTTGGTGAGGTCATAGGGCAAGGGCCGACTCTGGGGAGGTGGACATGGTATTAAGGGATTCCACTGAAGAGATGACATTTTTGTTGTATCCTGAAGAATGAGGAGGAACTTGGTGGAAAGGTCAGAGTGTGAGAGACATAACAGCATGTGCAGAGGCCTAGAAGCATCAGAGAGAGCAGTTGACTCATTTGGGGTGTCTTCATTATTACTGGCTCTGCAACAAATTATCCCCAAACCTAGCAGCTTGAAAAAAAAAAAAAGATTGTTTATGATAACATGGTTTCTGTGGGCTAAGCACTCTGAATCAGCTTGTTGGGTGAGTCTGCTTGGGGCCTCATGAGTATGCATTCATCTGGAGGCCGGACTTGGGCTGGAGGCTCCACTCGTAAGAGGTTACCTTCACATGGCTATTGGCGAGAAGCCTCGGTTTTTTTTGCTAACTATTGGCAGAAATCCAAGTATAGGTCTTAATGATCCAGTCTCTGGAGTCACAAACCATCTCTCCTGTCTTATTCCATAAGAAGATAATGACCAGCTCCAGTCTTTAGAGTAGGGAAATTAAATCCCACCTCTTGAAGACATAGTGTCAAAGAATTTGTGGGCATGTTGGGAAAACCATCTCATGGGGAGCAGGGTATAATGAAGACTGTCTAGGACCAGGCTTGTGGTGGGCAGGGCAGGAAGGAGATGAGGCCAGAGGATATGCAGCACCTGTGGACTGTGAATGCTGAGGGGCTTAGGATTGGTCCTGTAGGCAGTGGGGAGCCATTGAAGGTTTCTGAGCTGGTCCGTGCACAGACCTGATTTTAGAGCACCTGGTAACAGGACACAAAAATCCTAGAAAAGCCAGGTGTGGTGGCGCATGCCTATAATCCCACCACGTAGGAGGCTGAGGCAGGAGGATCGTAAGTTCAAACTTAGCCTCAGAAATTTAGCCAGGCCCTAAGCAACTCAGTGAGACCCTGTCTCTAATAAAATATAAAAAAGGGCTAGGAATGTGGCTCAGTGGTTAAGCCACCAATTTGGTACCTGGGTTCAATCCCTGGTACAAAAAAAAGAAAAAAAATCCAGAAGGACATTTTAAAAATACATTTTTTTGTAATTATAGACAAACAGCATACCTTTGTTTATTTTTATGTGGTGCTAAGGATCAAGCCTAGTGCCTCACACATGCTAGGCAAGTGCTGTGCCACTGAGCTACAGTCCCAGCTCCTCCACAAGGACATTAACATAGCTAGTCACCCATATCAGCAGACAAAGTCAGACACAGTCTGCAGGTGTCAAGAGGAGACAGGAGACCACGCTAGGGGACCAGGAGTGGGTTTCCATAAGGGCAGAGGGAGGCAGCCAGACCCAGGTTGCTGAGCAGTCAAAGCCATGTGGAATGGGCACAAGGGCTCTCCAGGGTGGTTGGTCACGAGACAGAGAGGATCAAGAGGGGCCAACTGAGGAGCTACAGCGTCTGCCTAGAAAGTCCTGCCCAGGCTCTTGGAGAAGTCAGTTCCTCCTATTCACCCTCAAACACCACAGAAGCCTCCTGGCCACCTGATTGAAAGTACACACACAGATTCTCTTTCCCTCTCACATCACCCTCTTTTATGGTCTCCAAGTGCAGTGTTGCTGGTTTTTCTGTTGTCTGTGTCACTCCATTCCTTGAGAGTCAGGCTGAGTTGAATGTAGAGCAGTTGAATATGGAGAATGGATGGTCAATGAGTATTTTTTCAATGAAGTTCTGAGGTGGGGAAGGAGTAGGGATGACAGAAGAGTCCCTTTCTATGTTTCCTCTAGGGTGGCCACTGGCACCTCACACACACATACACACACTTAGGGTTACACTGCCCCTTCCCCTACCCTTTCCTCTTTCCCCTCCACCCCCCACAGCCTCTCCTTCTGGGGCTACACTTCTCTGTACGCCCCCAGGGATTGCTGGTAGGAGAAGGATTACTGGCTTTCTCTTACTAAAGACAGAGCACCTCAGTCTGAACCCCTTATGCAGGGCTTACAGTGGCTGCAGACACAGCTCACCCTGAGGCTTGGCTGGGCCTGCTGGGGTACAGCTTACCCTTAGAGCAAGCACAGCCAAATCAAGGGGCATGATCTACTGCTAGAAATGAAGCTTTCTTGTCTAATCATCACCTGCCCTGGTCCCAGCTCTTCCTAGTTTTTCCCTGCACTGCTTCTAACCTCAGGCAAGTATGGTAACTTCCTGGGCATCTGCCTCCTTATCTGAAAAATGGGAGCCAATTTCCTGCCTGCCTGTTCTCAGCCCTGGGCCTGTGAGGTCAGCCCATGCAGCACAGTGTCCCACACCCATGTCCCCAGGCCTCCCCCTGCTGGTCTGGCAGCAGCAGTGTGCACTGGCTCATGATGGCCTGAGCAGAATGGGGCCTCAAGGGACCTTGCTGGCTCCCATTCAGGCTGGACACACTGGATACAGTCCCCTGACCCAGCTGTGAAAGGCAGGGGGCTGGAGATGAAGATCCTTTAGGTGGGGACTGGTGATCTTCCACTCCAGGCTTTGCACTGTTCCTCAGGAGCCTGCACCTTTGTTGTGGTCATCCAACACAGACAAGAGCCGCACTCAGAGCTACTGGACAGTGTGGCTTCTGTAACAACAGGGTGGACCAATCAATAAATTTAGGGCACTCAGACTTTTTTTGCCTAGCACATGCTAGGCAGATGCTCTCCCATTGAACCACATACCCAACGCTTAAAACGGCTTTTCTAAAGTCTTCTGTGCCCTGAGGGAAATAGGTAATGGAGCTTGTCCTGTCATGTCACCTGTCCCCAGCTCACTGTGCCCCAGTTCCCTTCCTTGAGTGCTAGACACAGATTTGGACAAAAGTGGCACTTCCAGTGGTGTATGTTTGCCATCTTCAGCCCCCATGGCCAACTGTGAAGACAGTCCACTGGTACCCCACCCTACACTCATACCTGTCCCTCATCAAGGTTTCTTGTGTCTTTAGGCTGCCCTCTAGACATCCACAGCCACCCTGTCACTAACCCCCCCAGAAAAACCATCCCACGGGCCCGTGTATTCTAGGGGGTCTGACACTCAGAAAGCTGGAAGAGATGCCTTCTGTGTTCCCCGAGACCAAGCTCAGTGCATGAATCATGCATGGGCAGCATGGCTGTGGGACTCTGCACCCGACTCAGGTGCAAGGGCTCGGTGGATCACCCCCCACACACCCCAACACGGTGTCTGCTTCTCTGGGTAGGGCTAGTCTCCCTGGTAGGCCAACTGAGAAAGACACAGAGGGCAGAAAACCCTGGTTACAACCTCCCAGTGCTCCTTGACATTACAGGCTTCTCCACTGCCACCTTTCACTTCGCCCCTAGGGTTTCCTTGGCTGGTTTTGTTGCTCATGTTCTTCTCTCTTTCCTCAAGTGAAGTCTCATTCACTGAGAAGACAAGAATGCTGCTCTCCCTCTACAGTCTCCCTCAGGCTTTCCCCAATTGTTTTGAGGAACAGGAATGGAATCACCTTGGTAGAATAACCTCAGCCTGGCCGTGCCTCGTTGGCACCCCAGCGATAGAGTCTAAAAATACTCTCCACTGAGGAAAGTGGGAAGGATCCAGGTGGTGATGGAAGTGGGGGCAGGAGGGCTGGAAGGGGCTGCAGGGGCTGTGTTCTTTGAAGGTGTCAGAGGCCTGGTGGCTGCCTCAGAATCCAGTGAAAAACACAACCACTAGATTCCCTTAAGTGAAGGCCTCTGGCCACATTCTGTGTGGACAGGCAGCCCCTAGGGACCCTGTCACAGGGATCAGGAAGTCTGAGCTGGGGACATAAGCAGAAGAAGACAGCCTCCTTTTATCCACAGTTATCTCGGAACCCACAGTTTAAATCAGCAATTGTCTGTCAGTCTGAAAGTTGATGCCTGAAGACTGTCAAAACCCTGAGAGACACAGCAGTGGATAGGAGGGGGTTGTGTTTGTGTCTGCAGTTTGGCATACAGTCCAGAGAAATGAAGGAAATAAAAACATGAGCATATCTCCCCTTTATTCCCCTCACCAGACCTGCCTCTGGGGCCTTCAGCCTCCCGACACTGTAGCCACAGGCTAGGGAAAAGAGGGAATTATCTAAAGAGTGTGACTTCCTGTCAGATGGCCACTCAGTTCTTAACTGGCCAGTTCCTGTGATAGGGGACCCTGAGAGAATGCCAATGTTGCTGCTGCCATGACACTTGGCTTTTGGATAAGGCAGCCATCAGGGAGGCAGCCCTCGCCCTCCCCAACCCCCCTGCTCCTGGGACTCAGGGCCGACCAGACCTCCCAGGATTTGCTCCCCCTCCCCAAGGAGGATTCTCCCCTGGCTCAGCCTCCAGTGGGGACCCATTAGCACTGTCATTTCAGTCTGTTGACAGCCTAAGTGGCCATCTTTCCTCTGTTCTCTGAAGTAGGAAAATAAGGATGCTTAGTAATTACGAGAACAGAATTCAGTTTAACCTGACAAATGTCAGCTGGCTGCCTTCTCTGTGCAAGGGCAAGAGACTGTCACCTTCTGGAGGTGGCTGACTTGGCTGGGGCAACAGGAGCAGTTACTTAGGCATGTTCTAGGAAGATGTTGGAGACACACAGCATCTCTGGATTTCTCCCATCTCTGGATTTCCTCATATGACTGTTCCTTTAAAGTCCTCCCCACCCCCATGTGTTCCTCTGTTGGCATCAGAATCTTGTGCAGTGGAGATGGCTGTCAGGAACATATGCTCTGTTAGCAGCCATCTCACCCCGACTGCACAGGGGTCCCAGACAGGGGTTGGAATTGTGGCAGGTGGGGACAGGGCGCATTAGCCAAGATTGCTTGGCTGCAAATAACAGATGCCAACTCTGCTTGCCTAGGCAAAGAGAAGAGTTTGCCCTGACAAGGCAGGGCCTCTCAGAAGCCCAGGTTACTGAGGCCAGGAGTGTGTGGGCCTGGGAAAGGACAGAAGGGACCTGAACGGCCTCTGAATTCTTTCCTTGTATATCTGCACCTCCTAGCACGCCCAGTGGCTCCTTTTCCAGACCACAGACTATCTCTGTCCCCTGGTCCTGGGCTGGCATGGGACTACATCCCACATTTTCAGAGGATAGTTTTCTTACCCTGAGCCTAGGGAAGAACTACTAGCAGGAGAATCCACAGACCTATCCTGTGATATGCATTTCCTCTCCAGACCTCTGGTGGCAGGCACAGCTACTAGGTGACTGAATGTAGGGGAGGAGAGTGCCATGGAAGAGGGCACCCAGGGAAATGTTCGTTGGCTAGAAAGAACAACATGGCATGGCTCTTTAGTCTGTCTTCTTGCAATCTCAAATTCAGCTTGGGTGTGAAGCCAGGGAAATTAGCGGGGTCCCTGGAATTGTTTGTACCTCTATAGAAATAGTCCTGGGGTGGCACCAGAAGGCACCACCAAGCATTTTTCCCTCTTATTCTCCCCCAGGGGGCTGTGAATATGCTCTTTAGACTCTTGAGTATATATTTTTTTATTATTGTTTTGTTTTTATTTTATTTGTGCTTGTGTGGTGCTGGAGTTGGAACCCAGGGCCTCGTGCATGTTAGGCAAGTACTCTACTACTGAACTATATCCCAGCTCCTAACCTCTGAAGTTTAGACCCCAAATGAAAACACAACAGCATTTTGAGGCTGCGTCTCCGGACTCAGCTCTGAGTTTTCAGTGGGATAGATGCAATGGAGCAACCGACGGGCTCTGGGGCTGTGGTAAGGCAGGTGGAGGCAGCATAGCTCTTCCAGCTGGGCCTTCCTGACAGCTTCTGTAGGCACCTTCAGTTCCCTTCAGAATCCAGAAGGAAGTGTTGGCCCAGACAGGCTGTCCTGATGCTGTGGTGGTGTTAAATCCCCAAGTATGCAAATTAAGGGCATCAAGGAAAGCCAGGCTGACAGTGCTGTGCATAGTAAGTGAGAAGCACTGGTGGTAATTAAGGAGGCTTTTTGGAAGCTGACCTTTTAACTTTGAATGGATCTGTTGGTTAAAGAGAGAGTTTCTGCTGAGTGCTGTGGCGCATGCCTGGAATCCCCGCAGCCCAGAAGGCTGAGGCAGGAGGATCAAGAGTTTAAAGCCAGTCTCAACAAAAGCAAGGCACTAAGCAACTTAGTGAGACCCTGTCTCTAGATAAAATACAAAATAGGGCTGGGGATGGGGCTCAGTGGTCAAGTGCCACTGAGTTCAATCCCTGGTATCAAAAAAAAAAAAGAGAGAGAGAGAGAGAGAATCAGTTTCTGTGGCTGCCTCTGGTTTGGTTGGAATGCGTTGGTGGAGGTCGGAGACAATTAAACGTCATGATGGTGACAGACTGGGCAGTGGCATGGGCACAGGAGGTACTGCCCCCTCTGGGTTCATATATGTAGTGAAGGGACACACTAGAGGTGACACTTATACTTCAGTTTTGTGGTTTTTTTAAATAATGTGTGTGTGTGTGTGTATCTATTGTTGTTGTTATTTATTTATTCGTTTATGTGGTGATGGGGATTGAACCCACGGCCTCATGAATGCTAGGCAAGTGCTTTACCACTTTCTGTCTCCCCAGCTCTACATTTCAGTTTTTTAATACATTCTGTAACTTCCAAAGAACAAGGGTGTGTGCATGTGTATTTTTAACTATTAAGAGTTTTACAAGTCAACAGAAGTGGTGCTCGATTTAAATTTCTGCTCTTCCCTCTCTGTTGTGTTTGCATTTAAGGGAGTATAGTGGTCATGCTTTCCATTAGGTTTTTCTGTTTGGCCAGGTGTATGTTGAGATCATCGGAGTGCAACATCAAGAAAGAAGCACGGCCTGGGAGCAGGATTCTGGGGGTGAACCTTGGCCATTGGCCCACAGTCCGGCTCCTAATGTGCTCTTGCGCCCTTGGGGTAGAGTCATCTCACCTGCCAACAACAGGTCTGGGCTTGGTGAGCGAGCTCAGTGTCAGCGGTTGCTGATTTATTGAGGAAACCTAGAGTGAGCCTGAATTTCCCATCGCACATCAATTTCTCCTTTCCTTTCTGCTCAATTTGCCTCCGGTTCCCGCTTCCACCGGTGAGGGTGGGTGTTCTACTCAGAGGCATCAAGGCGAGCCTTCTGTTCCCTTTAGCTAAACAGCCCCAGCAATTGATTTCCTTGCCATTAGGAAAATGCCTGCATTTTAGGATGCACCACGGTACATGGGTGTTATTTCTCTGCCTCCTCTCCAAGGAAATACATGCTGAAGTAAATTTTGTGCACACCCAGTAGCACTGCTGAAAGCCAGGCTCTCGCCAGCCTTGTCGTGGCAATGATTGCAGGAAGAGAGGAGCAGAATAGGTTTTGCCAGTGCACTTGGCATTGCAGAGGGCTGGCACTGACTTTCCAGCACTATGACAGGCCTGGCTAAGAACCATTTCCTAACAGGCCGTGCTCTCTCCTCCTAGGCGTGGGCTGATGCCTTTCGGAGCAGTCCTGACCTCACCGGTGTTGTGCACATCTATGAGGAGCTGAAGAGGAAGGGGGTCGAATTTCCTATGGCAGACTTGGATGCACTGTCTCCCATCCATACACCCCAGCGGGTAAGCTTCCAGCTGGCATTTTCTAGAAAGATGGACTGTAGAACAGGGGAGCCAAGCCGCTGCCACCACCCTTCTGCCACTGCCTTTGAATTATTCAGCTTGTCATCATGCTTTCTTAAAGCTCCAGGGCATTTCTTTTTAATAACAAGGGGAATGCAGAAGTGAGACAGCTGGTTGACTGGTGATTAAGTGGCAGCAGTGTCCCCCCCTGGTTTTCACACTGACTGTGGAGGAATATAATAGAGGGATCAGTTCAGGCGTTTTCATGGAAATGGCTGCTTGGGCGGAGCCATCCTGTGAGGGTCATTAGCACCTGCTCTGCCAAGGCCTGTAGAAGGTGTTATGGGAATCTGTCCTCTTTCCTGTCAGGACCAGAGCACCTCAGAGTGGTACAGCAGGGTGACTTTACTCTTACTCCAGCAAAGAGCAGTGTTTACTTTTTTCAACTGTGTAAATCAAATGTTTTATTTTCCTTTTTTTTTTTTTTTTGATATGGTGCTAGCAGTTGAACCCAGGGCGTCATGCATGCTAAGCACTCTCTACACTGATCTATACCCCCCCCCAGCCCAATTAGATGGATCTCAAATGTATTTTGAACTATGAGCCTTCAGCATCAGTCTAGAAATCTTTGAATTCCAGCAGCTGTGGGATGCAGAGCCCAGGGAAGGTCTGTGTCTGAGAATCCCACCGACACTCTCAGATGCCAGCAGTGGACGGGGAAGCTCTGCACTTCAGAATTAAGAGCATGCAGATATACAACTGTAATGCCCCAAAAAACATGGAAAGAAGTCACACATGATGCCAGTCATGGTTTCACAGGGAATCTGGTCCTGTTATTGACTGGGAACCAGTTCCTAGCTCAAGGAGAGAGCCTGGAAAGCTCCAGGTCTGGAGAAGCAACAATCATAGCACATTTGGCCTTGCTGGCTCTCTTCTGCCCATGTCTTCAAGGAGGACAGTGTGCTATGTGTGTGTCTCTTGTGAATATATGCACTAATGTTCACAAGGTTATTTGAAATGCCCAGGCCCTACCTCCATGGACAGAACAGTCCATCCCCACATGCTTTGAGGGAAGGCACAAGGCATTATTCTCATTATGATCCCTCCAAACCACTTACTATGCTTAGTGGAATAAACATAACCTGCTTTATTCTTCTAATAATGACACAGAACAGTGTTGTTCCTATAATTACAAAGAACATTCGGTAAATTGCATAATTGCTATTTATATTAGTCTACTTGTAAAGGCCAAAATGTAATCTTATGGTTCCAAATAAAGATTCATGATTAGCAAAACTTAATGACAGCCCTCCTTCCACTTGGATCCCAAGGTGGTCTTAACAATGGAACTATGACCAGAATGCTCATGGAGCATTCTCCACAGCCTCTTGGAGTTACACTGGTTGTCTGCCAGGGACAAGGACAGGAGACCTTGTGAGGAGTGTGGAGGGAGGAGCCACTGGTGGCTTCACTGCCCAGATGGTAAAATCGGGTGGGCTCTGTGAACTCTGATAGAAAGCACAGCCCAGGCTGGGGGAGGTGCCGGGTCTGGCCACACAGGCAGCCCAACAAAACGGAGGACTTTTTTGTTGCCATGCCAGAGTGTCCCAGAAGTAGATCCAGCCTCGACCATGCCCAGGTCCCAGTCGCAGCAGAGGACCAATGCCAGCTCCTATTCCTCGCCTCCTCCTGCTTCCTACTCCGCTCCCCAGGCCCCGGCTCTCAGTGTGACTGGTCCCATCACGGCCAATTCAGAACAGGTACTTGTGTGCTTCTGGGCCATAAACAAGCCAGCTGATGACCCTCCTTCACCTTCCCAGCATTTAGAAGCCTACCCAGGCCAAGGAGTGCCCTGGGTGTGGGGCACAAAGATGGAAGGACCCAAGATCTGGGGGAGATGACTGCAGGACGATCATGATAGAGTATGGTCACACCATGATGAGGAGCAGAGCCCAGTGCTCTGGCGTACCAGGGTTGAGCAGTCCCTGGAAGAGAGCCCAGGAGCTGAGGCAGTGAGGACCCTGGAACAGGCATGGGGCTTTGTCAGGTGAGAGGCCCTGCTCAGGCAGTAGCATCAGTACATGCAAAGCACAAAGCATTGGGAATCATTGGGAAATAGCTGATGTGGGTGTTGGACCCAGGTAGAGGAAGAAATCGTTGCATAAAGTAAGGCCAAAAGCAGAGGAATGCACTTGAGTTGTGAATGAACTTGTCTGTCACACAAAGAGGTTCACGTCAGTCCCATAGGAAATGTCGGCCATTAGAGGGGAAGGTGCTGGTGGGGGCAGAGTCCAAAGTCAGGGAGGTCTCCAGAAGCACTCTGTTTGCTCTATCCCAAACACTGCCCCATTCCCTGGATTACTTCCTGATAAGCTGATGCAGTTTTACCCCAAACCACTATTTTTAGATGCATTGTTTGTTAAGACTGGTCTTCAGATGAATCCATAGAATTTCCATTAAAATTTAAGATTTATGAGTTAAAATTTAAGAATTTCTTAAGCTTTGAAAAATGATTTCAAATGTTTGTACTTCAGAATCCTTATTTTCCTCATTGTGACAGGTTGTTATTATGAAACCTCACTGAAATAGGGGAGTCAGGGGATTGTGTGTAGGTGACACCAGTGTTGACTTCAGTGGGGCTTTACTGCTTGTGGGCCTGGGTCACTGAGTGCCACTCCTCCTCTTGACACACATGAGGTCTTCCCTAAAATGGAAGCCCTGGGGCAGAAGGCTTTGGCTCTAGGCGCTGCCTCCATGGGCAGAGCTGTCACTGTGTGTTTTGAGGGAAGGCAGAACGTGATTGAAGTTGGACAATCTCTGAGTCCCTTGGCTCACTGACCTTCAGTGCAGCAGGTACTGGGTCGGGCTTTCCAGTGCCAGAACAGCCAAGAGGATGGTCTGGAGAGAGAGAGAGGGCCCAGGTGCATGGCACCAGTTGCCGCCAGGGAGCATGGAAGCGAGGCAGAAGGCTGGTGCCCAGCCTGACCTAGAGACCCCAAGGCTTCAGTGTGGTCACCAGGTAGCATGCCTGGGCCTCCCTGCCCAGAAACCTCTTCATGGCCAAGGCATTGAAGCCATCCATCAGGCGAGCCAGGCAACAAGAGCCTCTCAGGACTTGGACCATCTCTCTGACGGATTGAGGTCTTCCGTCCTTGTCCCTGTGCTAAGGGTACAGAACTCAACCACCACACAGCCCTGAGAAGTTAAGGGTCTGCTGAGAGAGCCCACTTGCCCAGGAGAGGCTGAAGGAGGCTGGGAGTGGCCATTTCCACCTCAGGGCAGGCAAGAGAGAGCAGAAAAGGGCTGACTGAGGAGAGGAGGTGTCGCTTGATCAGAGTCCCAGTGCAGATGAGCACAGGAGTAGAGCCCACATGTGGGGCAGAGAGTGTACGTGTGTGCCCATTTACTAGATGGGCAGCACAGCAACCCATGAGGTCTGGGGTTAGGCCTTTCCCTAGACTCAGAGAGTTGGGTCCATCTCTGGGTGGTAGAGTCCTAAGCTTGCTGAATCTTTCGGAGCTCCTTCCACTGTCCCGAAAGTTCTCTGTTTAGTGTGTGTGGGTCTTCCATCAGCAATAGACAGGTCTATGGAAATTATTCCAGGATATCTCACTGTGGACAAGGAAGGTCCTTGTGGCTTCCACAGATGCCTCGAAGGGGTTTAGAGAAACTCAGGACTGGAGACCCAGAAGAGGCGGTTTATGTGGTCTACTGTGTCTCTGCTGGAGACCGTGAGGGGCCTCAGCCTAGGGGTGCTAATGGGTGGGAGATTTTTCAAGTTCAGGTTACCAGGTAGGGAGCTGGGTGTGGGGGAATGCCCCCTGTGATTTTTCTCTTGCTCCTCCTCTTATCATTGCCACACTAGAAAAGTGTTCTTAGCACTGGAAGGCCTCCCAGAGAATCGTAGCTTTTAGATGATGACACTCAAGGGGCAGAGCCTGTAACCGTGAGGTCCACAGAGTGGGGCACACCCAGGGTCCTATGGGGAGAGTGTGAGACCGCAAGCTTGGTTCTTCAGTTCTTTCTGCCCCAGTGCCTGTCACTGTACTCTGCTCTTCAGTTAGTGTCATGGGCAGAGAGGCACCTGTGACTGACTGTTGGTGACCAGGGCCTCTGGGACAGCCTTGCTCCCACATTCAGTTCTTCTGAGCTCCCAAGCTGCCGTCCCCTCCCAGGAAGCCAGAGGGAAAAGAGAAGGCAGATCCTAGAGCATACACTCAGAATGACGTGGGTGTCATGGTGGATGGGACCATCCCCACCCTGTGGGGCTGGCTGGTTCGGATCTTCCAAGCGCAGATCACTGACCTCCCCTTGGCGCCTTCCTCCCTGCCACACTACAGATTGCCAGGCTGCGGAGTGAGCTGGACGTTGTCCGGGGAAACACAAAAGTCATGTCGGAGATGTTAACAGAGATGGTCCCTGGGCAGGAAGATTCATCAGACCTGGAGTTGCTGCAGGTGAGGAGAACCCCGTCTTGTGGAGGTGCTGGGCTGAGCACAGGGTCACAGCCTTTGGGGGCAGCACCACTGCTGCACGCTGTGGCAGGACCCCTCTTGGGGACGTCACAACCATGAGTTTGGACAGTTTCGTAGCACTGTTGTCAGGAAGGATTAAGTCCTTGGGGGCTCATAGCCTCATACTATCCTAGGGACAGATAGAGACCAGTACCACTCTGTTTTTTATTTTCCTTAATTGTATGTTGTCCTGATTAGAAAGTGCCAATTGTAGAGTACATGCCCATCAAATGAAAAAGAAAGTCAAGAACAAAATAATTTTCTTTAACCCACACATCCACAAAAACCACTGTTGACTTTTTGTTGTATTTCCTTTCAGGATGTTTGCTGTGTTTATTTTAAATCTAGTTGAGATGATGCTATGTGTCCCAGTCTGTGTGTGCCTTTGCTGCCTGTTGTCAGATCACGAACATTGTGTAGCGGAGCCCCTTCAGCCATGACAGCATGTAGGGCCCTTCCCCCACCCCCACCCTGAGTCAGGAATTCCCGAGACTGGAGTGAACTTGAAGCTCCTGTTCTCTTCCCAAATGCTGAGGAGGCCCAGGCTCACATCATGGTTTCCAAGGAGCTGCTGTACCTGGCCTCCCAACTCTGATCACCCTTCAAAAAAATTTTTTCCAGTAGTGGGGAATCAAATGCAGAGCCTCATGCATGCCAAGAAAGTGCTGTGCCACTGAGCCAAACCCGGAGCCTACACTACAAACCTCAGACATGGAAAGGGCCCTTGAGCAAGCTCGCTTGCCGTCCCATCTTTGGACTAGAAGCAGGAGCCCCTTTTGGATCTATTTCCCAGGCCAACCAGGCCCAAAGCCAGTGACCATACTAGCCTCAGATGACTCTGACATTTGTAGAAAATGGCAGCAACACTGCCCTCAGGAGCAGTGACCTTCTAGAGAGGTGGAGAAAGGATACTGTGAACTACAAATGCCAGGTCTTTATAGCAGGATGCAAGACATGGAAGTAGACAGGTCAGGAGCCAGCCTGACTGGGCAACCTGGTGTGAGTGGCTCTCACTGCACCTGCTGCTTCTGTTTCTGGTTCGTACTCAGTCATCAGCCTTGGCTCCTGGGTGCCACACCTCCCACACTGCTATTGGCACACACTGACTCCCTGGGCAGCTTGACTCTTGTGGCCTTACCCTTTGGGACAGCACATGCCTGGTGGCTTAACCTTGTCCCAGGCTACTTCTTGGAGTGCCCAGTCCCCATTTCCAAACCATCAGCTCCTATGAGGGTGAGGGTAGGTGGAGCCCTGCACTGGGACCAGCTCAGAGCACAGCCCCAGGGCCACAGACAGGCAGGAGCTATAGTCCCTGCTCTGGAAGACTTCACAATAGAAGGACAGCTTTCCTCCGTGTAACCTGGACACCAAGCTGCTCTTGAAGCTAAGAAGCATACCCTTGACCTAGCCCCAGTGAGGAGCTCAAGCAGCCCCTAGTTTCCAGACCTATTCCTGACACCTGACTTGTTCGGCTCAGCGGGATCAACTATCCATGTGTCACACTCCACAGGACTTGCCTCCCTTTAATGCATTGTCATTGGCCTCCATCCCCAGCCTACAGGAAGGCAGCTGCCAGGCATTACCCAGATGCACAGGAATCTGAGGGCCGTTCAGAAACCAAGAGGGCCTCTTGAGGCAGCTTTGTGCTGTGTCAGCGTCGGAATTCCTGCTGACAGGGGGGTTTGCTCTGGACAGAACTGAGCTCCTGGCAGCAGGCGGTGTGTTGAACAAAGCCAAGATGCTTCCAGACAGCCAGAGCAGACCCAGACAGCAGGAATACTCCGTGTGTGTGTGTGTGCGTGCACTCATGTGCATGCTTGTATATGTGTGTGCATGCATGCTTGTATGTGTGTGTGCGTGTGTCTGTGTGTGTGTGTGTCTGTGTGGTTTTTGTTGTTGTTGTTGTTTTTTAAACAAGCCCTCAGCCAAGACAAACAGAACCTAATCTCCTGGCATCAGCTCACAGTTTTCAAAAATAGGTTGCTTCCCATGACGTTTTCTTTCCCTCTGTTTTGTTCCAACTCTGAGTCTCCCAGCCCTCACTGCTGTCGTATAAATCAAACAGAAAAAGACCAATTCTGGGGGCCTGTGGGAGGCTGTCCTTTCGGCATGGGAGATGTCAGAGTGGGCAGGATCGTGTGAACATACTCAGTGCTCCTGGCTGGTGGCCACGTGCCTGACATCCTCCCTCTTCTTCCCTGGCTGTCAGAAGCCAGCAGGCAGGAGCTCCCAAGGGTCGGTGCAGCACGGAACAGTGAGCCTTCCACATGGGAAAATGCCACAGTCTTCTCAGAAAGCCCTGGGATCAGAATCTGTCCCAGACCCCTCAGTCAAGCTGGAGGACATCCAAAGTGCTCAGAGCAGCCGCAGCCAGAGCTCAGAGTGCTGGCCAGGGTCGTGGAAATAAACACATTTGTCACCAGCCCTGATCTCCCCACCAACAAAAGCTGCTCCTGATTCAAGTGTAAATTGATGTCTAGAAAGTAGAGGGAGTGGGAAGAGAGGTCATCGGGAGGGTCAGCCCTGGGGTGCTCTGGTGTGGCCAATCGTAATTGTGGGCAGGTTATATCCTGATTTTTCCTGTGCCTGGCACAGTTCTCTGGCGTACCCCCCTACAGCCCAGCAAGAACAGCAGGGAAGCTGGTGAGCAATTTGCCTGAGGACTCGTGGGCAGGTGGCTGGTATCTAAAGAAAGGCTGAGTCCACTCTGGACCCCTGTTTGGTCAGCTTAGCATGAACCCAAGAAAAAGGGAAGCAAGATGCCTGGAGTGAACACAGCAACGCCTCTCAGGCCGGTTGTTGACCCCTCCACTCCTTGAGCTGAGAGAGACCTTCTGGGCTGTTAGTCCAACTCCACACTTGTGCTCAGGCTTCCTCTCCAGCATTTGTCCTAGTGCCTGCTGTTTGAGGTTTTTTTCCCCCCCACATCCCTAATTACAGGCTGTTCCCACAGACCCTGAAAGCACTTTATTTTTAGATAGAGGTCTTGGTTAGACTTTGGAAATAGCACAAGGTGGAGAGAACATGGTTTACAGATCACTGGGTGCACAAGCTCATCTTCCCACCAATGAGCCAAGTGATACCAGGCAAGTCACCAGCCCTCTCTCCATCTGCTTCTCCCTTGGTGGCCTGAAGTGATTGCATTTACTTACCATGCAGGTGTGTGGCACTGGGCTGGGCTCAGGCAAGTCCTCCACAGGTTGTCACTTCTATGACCATTGTTAGAAAGCTCTTCTGCTTTCTCGAGCTCAAATCTGTTTTTCTGAGGCTTCGACCCTGGTCTGTCCTAGACAACAGAACAAAATGAATTTCTTTCTACATGGTGGGTCCTTGAGTATTACAAGATTGCCATGGGCCCTGCCCACTGCCCAGTCTCTGCTTGGAACAGGTGTGGCTCTTGATAGCTCACCTTATAGATGAGCAGGCAACTCATCAATGTCACAAGTCAGAAATTGTCAAAAGGAGAACTTCCATCATATAAAACCCTTTCCAATCTCCGTGTGGGACTGTTGAGCCACATCCTCTTAATCCTGTGTGTGGACCCTTGAGTGTAGGCCCAAAATGTGAAACAGCATCTGTCCCTGCTAAAGCACATCCCTTTATCTGGAGCTGAGTGCCACTTCCTGGGATCTCGAAAGATCCGATTCCATCATCTGGTGCCCTCTCCCTCTTAATTTAGGCTTTTGAGCTTTGCCTTCAATTAATAATAACTTTTAATTCATCCAATGGTGTAAAAAAAATGGACGCTCTTCAATGGCCATTCATCAGACAACAAAAGAAGCTGTCTCCAAATTTGTTCCTTTAAGTAGCAGATGGTATATCTCTCCTTGCTTCTTGCATCTGATTTCAACAAAGAATAGCCAAAACCATTTTCTCTAGAGAAATCTGGTTTATTCTACATGTTGTGCTTCATTATTTCCCCTTTCTTGTTAACAGACTTTTTTCTCCCTCCCAGTGCCCTTGCAGCAACAGAACAGGCTTTTAGGATCTTCTTCCATGCTTCTGGGAACTGGGAGAGGGTCCAGAGGAAACAACAAGGATGATTAAAAGACTTTTGTGAGGTGGGGCTGAGACTGTCCCTTGAAGAAAAGAAAAAGACCTGAGATTAATTAATTCAACAGAAAAGAGAGGATATTTAATAAGGTCTTCTGATAGATGGAATACTTTTGCTTAAGTGACCAGCTGTCCTCCCTCTCTGTTGAGAACCAGAAATAGGAAGCTGAAGCTGTAATCTGTGACACTGGGAGGATTCCTGTCCCGCTTTCCAGCTCCTGTGTAGTTGAAAGGGTGTCCTGGGCATGCTATGAGCTCTTGGATACCTTAGACCAAGAAGATGTCACTCTGTCTGGTGCTTTAGAGGTGGAGGGACGCGGGGAAGTCTGAAACTGAGCCTGCCATAGGGCTGGCTTGGATGACACTGGAGAGGCCATGTGGGTGGCCATCTGGTGTGGTGGTGACAGAAAATCTTTTTTTTTTTAAGTACTGGGCATGAACCCAGGGGCACTATACCACTGAGCTACACCCCCCACACCCCTGACCTTTTTCTGTTTTCTATTTTCATTCGGGTCTTGCTAAATTGCCAAGGTTAACCTTGAATTTGCATCCTCCTGCCTCATCTTCCCCTAGTAGCTGATATTACAGTTGTGCACCACAGTGCCCAGCTTTTCTTCCTTTCTGAAACAGTAACTTAAATGCTTTAAAGCCAAGAATGGTAACTTTCTCTGTACAGAGACCCCTAGAGACCCTGTGGGCCTATCTCTGGGCGAAAGGCTGGGAAAAGCCGTTGGGATGCCCCTCTAGGACGGAAGCCTGTGAGGCTCTGCCAGAGGGGTGAGGACCATCTCTGCTACCACCCCGCAGGAAGTAGTGGGGACAGGGCAGCAGAAGTGAGGCTATAGTGGATGTTTCTGGCACTTAGCATCCATGAAATCTCTACAGTCTATACCTTTGGGTCTCATTCTTCTTCCAAGCTGAGGTCATAATGTTAGTGCCTCAGTAATCCTCTAGCACTTTCCAAACAGTATTTGAAAGTAATGGAACCCTTTTCTCTACAAATAAAATTCTACAGGGAATGACAATGTTTAAAATACATAAAAGCAGAGTTGCCCTGGCTGCCCTAGGGCAATGCAGTGACATTCTCTGGCACTTCCCCCTTGTTACACATGTATGCAGCCCCCTTATTTTATGGAGGGAGAGCATCAGGGCCGTTGATTGCTTATCCACTCATGGCCACTTGCTGCCTGCTGCTTGGTCTCAGTACCCAGCTGGAACGCTGTGGGAGAGAGAGAGATGAGCCCTTGTCTTCTCTCATTCAGCTCTCTTGGTGCTTGAGGGTTTGTAGTCACATTTTAGAGACATTCCCTGAAGCTTGCTGAAGAGTCTGGTTTGGCATCTCTCTGAATCCAGGGGAACACCTCAGGCCTGCTCTTGTCCTGAGACTCCCACAGTTCAGGGTAGTGGTAGGGCTGGCTATCACACGGAGGCTGGAGGCTCTCCCAGAAGCGCTCTGATGTCGTCTGGCTTGGCAGCTGCAGTTAAGGCGTGTTTACAATGCTGTGAGAAAATGATGAGAATCAGTGGCTGGGGGTCCTGGAAAATTCTGAGTGGACAGGGAGATGGATAAATGGGAGACACATGGCACAGGTGACACTGTAAAACATTGAGGGTAGACTACAAGTGGTAGTATGTTTACTTTGCTGTATGTTTGAAGTTTTGAATGATGAGATACTGGGGTGGGGAAACACCCTAACGTCTTGAAGGATGAGTGGAAGTGATGGAAAAGAAAGTAAGAGATATTACAAGCAGCAGGCGGACTTCTCAGCAGCCCTTGAGCTGCATGGTGAGTGCCTGAGGCCACCTGCTGGCTTGGAAAGTCTAAGGGGTTAGAGGTATGTTGGGGCTGGTTTCTGATACCCCAAGCTTCTGGAGAACCTTAAAGCTATTTCCCATAATGTTCCTCCCAACACTTCTCTGACTTGTAGGTCTTATGCCTTATAGTGACAAGTGACGGGCTTTCTTCCTTCCCCTGCCCCAACCAAGGGTAGCCAGGGCTTGTTGCTTTACCCAAGCACCAGACAGGGGCCATGTTTGCCTGCCCTGAGCTTACGTGGTAGGGTCTGCCTTCACTGGAAGACTCCTAGGAATGATTGCCTAAGGCAGGAGTCTTGGGAAAGCCAACACTGGGAGTCTGTTTAGAGAAAAATCTGAAAAGATTCAGATACTGGCTTTCTTTCCCCAGTGACCAAGAGAGTCTGATAGCACTGCCAAGGTCTCGGCTTGGCACCAGAATCACGAGCCACCACACAGCTTCGTAGGTTCAAACAGCAATTCTTTATTCCCGCTCTCACACCGCCTCCACACAGGTCCAGGGGCAATCGCCTTCTGCCGTCTCCTGCACAATTCACCTACTCCACGAGGCTCTCTCCAAATCCCATTTTAATCTCACGAGAACTCAACGGGAACAAGCAGCAGGTACACCCTAATCCCAGCAATAATCTTCAACTTCCAACTTCCCTAAAACCCATTATCTTAAACTGGCAACGCCTTAAACTCAAGGAACCAGTTACTTCCTCAAACCTGATCAGCTCTAAACCTGGATCCGCCTTGGTCCTTGAGCAAGGTCACCTTATTAAAGCATGAATGCAATGTTCCATCAAATGTCCTCTAAGCAGCATGGGGTACGCTTGGCAAGGAAATTTCGATGCGTCATTCCTACTTGGTAATGGCCCTCAGCATAGCACCATTCTGGTTGAGGGTAGAACCAAGACAAACGGCAACATTGCCGTGGTCAGAGAGTCAGGGCTCAGCAAGGTGACCAGATCCAGGGTTGAGGAATCTCCAAGGAAGCTTGTTATCAGTGTGAAACCAAACTCATGAGCACCCAGCTGCACATATCCAGGTTCTTTCTGCCTTGAAAAATAAGACTTTACTCAGGTGATGCTGGGTCGATCCACGTGGTCAGGTCTTCTTCCCCAGCTGTCCCCATTCTTAGGAAAGGAGCCCTGGGACTGAGCACCAGAAGGAGAGAAAGACAAAGCAACCCATTAAGGTCCCCCCTGTTCCTACCTGAAGGGTAGGTCCAGCGTAGGCGTTGTAGCAGTGAAGTCAGAAATGCTGTCTGAGGGCTGGAGGTATAGCTCAGTTGGCAGAGTGCTTGCCTCACATGCACAAGGCCTTGGATTCGATCCCCAGCACCACAAACAAAAAAAAAGAAAAAAGAAAGAAATGTTGCCCGATACCATGGACTGCAGGTGGACTGCGTGTGGGCTGAGGGGATGTGGCCAGCCTGCCTGCCTGCCTGCCTTCCTGGGAGATAGGAAGAATGACATGGAGTCTTGGTCTGGAGTGGGAGGCTGACTAGAACCCTGCAGTGGCAACCCTGAGGCAGGTGCTGTGTTGCCAGGTCCTGGGGAGCCTGCAGAAGGACTGCCTGGGATTCCCCACTTTGCTCATTTGACCACCTCAGTGACCCAATTCAGCAGATGCCCCTTGGACGTCTTCACTGTGCGCGAGTCAGTGCTCAGCGTAAGGACAACCACAGGTGAATACATGACAGCATCCCACTCAAGAAGGTCATGATCTGGTAGGAAGGAGCCCTGGCCCAGGCAGCCAGATGGTGTGACGAAAGCAGGAGCTAAGCAGAGATTGCTTTTGCCTGCTGCAAATGGATCAGTTACTTCTGCCAGACATGTTTTCAAACTGAGGTAATTCTGAGACTGAGCTGCAGGAAGGGAGACTTCATTCCTTAACTCACTGATTCATCAGCTGCCTGCAGAGTCCAGGTAGGTGAGGACGGCATCCTGGCCCTCCCTTCACCCTGTTGGGATTTGGAGCTTTGTCCGCAGGCAGCTCATGCAGTCAGGGAAGTTGAGGAGCCAGCCCGACAGGCCTGGCACTGATCTTATCTGTAGCGTCCTCAGTCTGGCATACAAGAGGGCAGGGGCCTGGAAGGTATTTGAGGGGGCTCCACAAGCAAGTTTAAATGAGAGTGTTAATAAGGTGGCTGTTCTGGGGCAGGGAAGGCTCACAGAAGCCAGGCCATAAAGTACAAGGCTCTGTCCTCAGGGGACATTGCTTCCAAGGGTTGAGAGGCTCCTGTGGTGACTGGTGGTGTGTGATTATCATCTTTGGCCTATGGGAGTTGGTGGAGCTTCCAAGACCTCTACACAGTGACAATCGTGCCACCACACAGCACCTATATGGTCATAAAATATACTTACGCCATTGCTGGTAGTATGAATAAACTGATGTCATCTTTTTTGGAGAACCTCTGACTATTACCAGTCAGTATTCTAAAAGACCATACGTACTACTTCATTCAAAAATTCCCCTCCTGAGGAACTCTGCCTGTGGAAGTGCAGTAAGTGTGTGAACATGTATGTGTGCAAGTATTCACTGCTACATTATTTGGGTTAGCCAAACAAAGAGAGAACACACACAAGTCACATGCCCAACATGGCAGAATGATAAGCTACATTACAGTGCACACACAAAGGATTGAGTCATTCTGTACCCAATGATGAGGGAAATGGGTCTGAAATATTTTGTTGAAGGGAAAAAGCAAGCCACAAAGAATCACATTTTTGCAAGCACATATGATTGTGTTTGTGTGTGTGTATGTGTTTGTGTGTGTGTGTGTGTGTGTGTGTGTTTTCCTTCATTGCTGGGGATAGAACCCAGGGCCTTGTTCATGTTAGGCAAGCACTGTACCACTGAGCTACAACCTCAGCCCTTGAGAATTGCATTTTTATATTTTAAAAATGATGTATTCATATTCACACAACGACTGTCTGTACATGTGCACACTTGTTCATCCACTGGAAAAGCACCCGTTTCCTGGGGTGGGAGGGGCAGACGATGAGGAGGGAGCTTTTTCCTTTGCATTCTGCACACGTCTGGTTTTATGAACAAGCATGTACTCCTTCTGTGACTTTTAAGAATCAGTACAAATCTTTTCAAAGGCAATAGAACGTGACAAAAAGCGTTCCCAGCAGGCTCTGCAGAGGTGCCTGTGTTCCCTAGGAGCTGAACAGGACCTGCCGGGCCATGCAGCACCGCATCGTGGAGCTCATCTCCCGCGTGTCCAATGAGGAAGTCACCGAGGAATTGCTGCATGTCAATGATGACCTCAACAATGTCTTCCTCCGCTATGAGAGGTGGGAGCCAGAGTCCTTTTTGTTTTTTTTTTTCTCTTAAAAAGATTGTTGCCATAACAGAGGGATATCTTTGATAAACAAAGGGGAGAGAGACATACACAGACAGAGAGATTAGAGTTGGAAAATACTCATCAGAGATGCTAATTTGTTCCCCTGGATGACAGAGAAAATGCTTCTTGTTCTCCTGGGAACAAGCAGCAGGAAGTTGACGTGCAGAATTCACTGTGCCCTTTATAAGCCTCGGGCTGCTCTGCCTCCCCGCATGACCTGCCTCAGGGAGGACCAGGACTGGGGGGTCTGGGCCTGGAGTTTCTGCACCTGCTCCTTTGATGATCCTTTGAGTTTGAAAAGGATTAAAGGGGAAAAAAAACTCTGCTAAGAAAAAGGATTTCCTCTTTCCCATCTTGTAAAAAGAAAAAGAGCTTTCTTTTTGTAAATGTCAGCGTGTCTAGAGTGTTCCGGAGAAGCAGGCAGGGTGTAAGTGCCAGATTGCTGCTGCTGCTGCTGCTGCTTAAGGAAACACACGCATTCTTTTCAGTTCTTTCTGCAGCCAAATCACTTTTAGGCTTCAAGTAACAAATTTGAAAATTCCTTTCCTTTTCCAAAGACTTCCTCAGGACAAGGTCCAAAACATATTTGGTCAGGTTTCAAGTAGGAGGTGCAGTTCTCATCTCTACATCATGATGGATGCACCTTGGGCTCTCCTGAATGAGCCAGTGGAGGACCATAAAGGACCTCTGTCAGGCCACCCTTCTCCCATTAAAGATCAGGCTCAAGAAGGCAGAGCAGGGCTGGGGTTGTGGCTCAGTGGTAGAATGCTTGCCTAGCATGTGTGAGGCACTGGGTTCGATCCCCGGTACCACATAAAAATAAATAGATTATTAAAGTTACATCCATCTAAAACTAAAAAAAATATTTTAAAAATAAAATAGATAAATAAATAAAAGAAGCAAGACAGTAGCATGAGTTTCCTGGAGACTTGTTCTGGCCCTTCTGTCCACCAGCTGATCATGGCTTACTATGTGGACTGGTCAGGAGGACAAACGGATCTGGTACCCATTGGGGTCAGGGGAACAAATATTGCATTTGCATTACCTCTAGGGGCTCAGAGGGTGATGTGGTGGTTGTCACATTCTTGGGTTTCTTCAACTTCTGATGGTGGCAGTAAGGATAGATGTTCCTGTGCCCATCTAAAAGGTGAAGACTCCTCTGCAGTAGGATTGTGTGGCCACCCAACAGCCCCCTTGTCTACCAATCAAAGAATAGGAGCAGATCCAAGGCATCCTCACTTTTACCCTGAACCCCCCCTTGTCTTGCCACATGGTCTCAGTTTCCCTACGCTAAATGTGCTTGATTTTTTTTTAAGAAATTTGTTCTTTTTTTTTTTTTTGGTTTTTATTTTATATAGTTGTAGATGGAAATAATACCTTTTATTTTATTTGTTTATTTTTATGTGGTGCCAGGGATCACACCCAGTGCCGTACACATGCTAGACAAGCGCTCTACCACTGAGCCACAACCCGAGCTTGGGTTTTGACCTGTTTGAGTCATTTAAACTCTAGGTAGAATAGAATAACCGGAACTGGTGTGGGCCTTGTCATCTACACCAGTCCCCGTGTTGCAGAGGACTCGGAAGTGCTACCTCAGGCCACTGGCCCTGAGATGCCATCATGGTTAGACTGTAGGTCCCTTGAAGAGAGTGTGAGATAGATAATACCCCATGATTAAGAGTGTTTCAGATATATTAATATCTCTGTTCTCCTTATAGAACTCTACTGGAAAAAAAATTTTTTTTTCCTTAAATCTGCAGTTGATACACACAGCCCAGCCAGATCATTCCTCCTGGGAATTCCTTGTCACCAAGTACTGACCTACCAAGTTGGCAGCAAACATGAAGCAGTGCAGCTCCCTAAATCCCAGTTTCTCAAGTCCCATCTGTAGAAAGTCTCTGGGCTACCTCTTTGCCCACTGTGTTAGGAGCTTTTAAATATGGTGTTGAACAGGACCGATTGTCCCCCCCACACACATACACACATCCCAGCTGCTCTTGCTGTCCCACCTGGTACGAAGATGACTTGGGTGTGGCAGAAGGGAAATGTTCTGCAAGTGCCCACAGGCAAGCCCCATCTGTGGCCATCTGCTGATGTTGCAGAAGAGACTGGCCCTGGAAAGGCCAGCCCACCCTGCCCTCCTGGCACTCTGGGTGGTTGGCCTAAACCTCCCTACAGCTTCTGGCAAGCCCTTTCACCAGGCCTTGGCTATGGCCCTGTGCCCATGCCTCACTACCTCCTTTCTCCAGAGATGGAGGTGGGGGTAACTGAGCCTCAGGAGCAGGAGTAGAGAGGGGTCTGCAGTTAGGACCTGGCTCTGTAGATGGGCATGCGGCATGATGCCTCTAGGGAAAGTGGTTGACCCCAGGGGCCAGAATCAGGGAACCTATGGGAGAGGCAGAGAAGTTCATCCTCCTGGGAGGTAGGAGCTCCACAAAGAGGAAGATGTATATGTGGAGTCTACTCTGCTGTCCCCAAATGGGACTGGCTGGTCCCCTCCCTGGAGCCTCATCCTCTGCTGAGTACCCAGCACTCTTCACAGGACTATGAGCATGGCAGGCCACACATGGCCCTTCCTTCCTTACTTCTCCTTTCCCTTCCTTGTTAGGTTCCAGCGATACAGGTCGGGCCGATCGGTTCAGAATGCCAGCAATGGAGTAAGTGTGCCTTTAGCCGTCCCTGTACTCGTGAGGCTGTCTCCTCACACAGACCTGTCCCAGTTGGGCCTGGCTTCTAGGTTTTCTAACTGGGAATAAAATGTCTGCTTGATGGCAGATGGAGCAGGGCTGGAAGGCACCCTTGAGGAGAGAGTGGCAAGAAAGCCCACGTCCAGAGCTCCCAGGACAGTCACCCTCCTATGACTCAGTACTGCCTCCCTCTGGTTGGGGAACAGGGGAGGCTAGTGTGGGGCTCATTGACAGCCTGGGCCCACTGTGATTCTGAAGGTGGGTGAGGGGGGCCACCTTTCTCCTGTGGTAAAAACACGGGTCCTGAGTTTTTTTTTTCTTCCCCCGGTACTGGGGATTGAGCCCAGGGGCAGTTTACTGCTAAGCTCCATCCCCACTGTTTTGTTTATTTTACGTTTTTTTTTTTTTTTAATTTTTACTTTGAGACACAGTCTCACTGAGTTGCTTAGGGCCTTGCTTAGTTGCTGAGGCTGGCCTTGACCTTGTGATCTTCCTGCCTCAGCTTCCTGTGCCATTGGGTTTACAGGCCTGTACCACTGCATCCAGCTAGGTCCTGGCTTTTACCTTGGCGCTCAGCCCAGGGAATGGAGCCTCACCGCCAACCTCAATGTCCCAACAGGTGCTGAATGAAGTAACTGAAGATAACTTGATAGACCTGGGCCCTGGCTCTCCTGCTGTGGTGAGCCCAGTGGTGGGGAGCACGGCACCCCCATCTTCCCTCTCCTCCCAGCTCGCAGGCTTGGGTGAGTGTTGCACAGCTGTGTAAAGAGGCTGCCTACAGCCGTTTGGCCTCCTTTACAAGCTATGTCTTTCTCTTTGTTGGAAGGCCAGAAGAGAACCTTTTGAAGAATCCAGAAAGATGTATTTCTGAGTCCTAGCCAAAGTGTACCCCTTTCAATTTATAACTTCTTTTCCTAAATTTGAAGTTTAAACCTGTGTTGGAAAGCAAAGTTGAGGAACTTCTACGCTTCAGCATAACTAGGCCAAGGCTGGCAAATTGGTTTCAGTTCATTGACTGCTTGGAACACAGGTTTAATACTAGAGCCACTTCAGGGCCTAAGAGACGGCTGGCTGACTGACTGACGATGTCTGCAGTGGGCTGAGAAGTAGGAGGTGGTGGTGGCACTGACACATTTGCTCTCCTTGAGCTATACATTAGATTAAAGGGTTCTGTTTTCTAAAACTTGCTAGAAACTCCCCTCTTTTCCATAGTAAATGTGTGTATATAACTCTAGATGCTTTGTTTATATGAGACGATACCAATTTATAACAAAGTTATAATATTGACATAATTAATAAGCATAATACTCAAAATTCTTCTACCTTGCTTTTCTGTTTTCTTTTATGGGGAATATTTCTCTACCTTCAATTCATTTCAATTGAATTAAACTTATTTAATGACCTATCACTTGCAGCAGGTCTAGCGTCTCTATATTTCTGTATGTGTAGCCATTCCAATACTTTCTGTATCTGTCTCTATTGTAATAGGTATCTCTGCCTTCAGTCTGTCCAACTATAGTCACCAGATTTAATCCACCAAAATTGATTCTGCTGCCTCCCTTCTTAAAAAGTGTCCATCATTTCCCCAATCACCCTTTACTGGGCATTTGAGGCTTGTTCTGCCCATCTCTCACCTGTCCCCCAGCTTCCTCCCCTACCCCTCTTTCCCACGAGTGCAGACACTTCACAAAGTCTCACCTTCTCCTCCTTCTCCTCCTTCTCCCCCTACTGCAGCCCTGCTCATCCTCTAAGACCCACCCTTACGTTGGTTTTGAGTGCCTCTCACTATCTCAAACCAAGCACTTGGGCTCTCTGTCCCTTTCCCATCTACTGGTTGAGCTTCTCAAGGCCAGGACCAAGTCAGGTCCTATTAGGTCCCCTTGAGATCTGGCTCTTGACCTGTGGGGACCTAAGAAGTACCTGCCAAATGAGTAACTAGTCCAGATCCCTATTGAATAAATAAGGAGCACCCTGAGAAGGGCGCTAGCTGGGCCACTTCAGTCTCGCCACCAGCGGTCTCCCTGCTGTTCATGACACCTCCTTCCTCCTTGAGCAGCCTGGGTGTAAGTGCAGCCCTCCATCCTCCTGCACATGACCTACTGGCAGTGCTAAGAACAGTCCCATCCCCCACAAACCCTTCTCCTGGCCCTCTGGCTTTGAGGCCCCCTCAGGTCCACAGTCCACATGCTGTTCTCATCTGCCTCTTGTTTGTTTTGTTGCCATAGACTTGGGGACAGAGAGCGTCAGTGGCACCCTCAGTTCACTCCAGCAGTGTAACCCTCGTGACGGCTTTGACATGTTTGCCCAGACTAGAGGGAACTCTTTGGCGGAGCAACGCAAGACGTACGTGGGGCCCCTTCCAGTGGCTCTCCAAAGATGTTAGGGGGTGAGGGGGAGCTGACCCAGGCCTGATCACAGGCCAACACAAAGAAGCCTTTTGTGTACCAGATTCGAGACTGCCAGGAACTTTAAAATATGGCCGTGGGGACTTGGCATTCACCGCAGATACTGGTGAATGCCAGCACCCCTCACTCTCTCCGGCCCTTGGGGTTGACTGTAGTGTCATTTCTCCTGTCAGTCACAGAAGTCTACTCTTCTTTCTTGCAGACACCATCTCCCCCAGCTGTCTCAAGGGAAGCCTGGACACAGGAGGGGACAGCCAGGCCGGGACCAAAACGGTTCCTAGCAGGGAGATTTAACTGCCTAAAAAAAGCCATCAGGGCAGAGGCTTCTCCGACAGCAGCTCTGGCAAGAATGAGCCATATGGAATTGGGGGAGTTGGTTCCAAAATAGACAACCCCCTGCATCTCAGGGAGGCAGGGAACATGCTTTGAGCCTTCTTTTTAGCTTAAAGGCAGACTGCTGCTTATAAAATAAGAGCTAATATTGCTTTGTCTCTACCTGGCCCCTCCTGAGGAGTTTTAGAGCACTCTGACATCCTGCCCCTGAGTGAGCTTCAGAGAGGCCCCAGTGTTGTTATTCAGGAGAAGGATGTTGAAATGCACAGTCTTCCAGGTCCCAGAGGAGTTTATGAGCTCACTCTGGAGCTAAGCTTGCTCACTCCAGCTGCAGGGAGTCGGACATGAACCCTCAACCTCTGCCCAAAGCCAGGGTCACACCTGAGGAAGGTGCTGTGAGATGGAGAGTGATTGAAGATCACCGCCCTGCCCCCATGACTCCTGGGGGAACTCACTGTGCCTGTGCTACTTCATCCCCAGGGTCACCTATGAGGACCCCCAGGCTGTCGGAGGACTCGCTTCTGCACTAGACAGTCGGAAACAGAGCTCAGAAGTGGTAGGTCTTCAACTCTGTTTTTCTGTCCAGCCTTCTAGAGAGAAAGTTGACATTTTGGTAAAGCTGGATGATCAATTCAGCAGAAATTGGCTTGTGTAAATAGCAGGGACGCACTGGGGGAGAGACCCGAGGAACCTGTGTGCCACCAGGCAGTGCCTCATTAGTGTTTCCTCGCCCTGTGAAGTGACGCTCCCATTATACTCATGATACTGAAGAGGAAACAGGCCCAGGGAGGTGGTAGATAAGCCAAAGGACACCCAGAGTGCGGGCTGCACATAGCCATCCCCATCCTAGGAATGTCCGACTCCAGAGCCTGTTCCTCCTACTGAGGTGACCCAAATGCTTGGAGTACAGGCCTCTCCCTGCGTGTTTTGGTTCCTGGGTTGGGACATGTGCTGCCAAAATAACGGCCCTTTCGTGGAAGGTAAATACTAATCTAGGCCATCCCTCTGGTGACCACTGGTAGCTACCCTAGACAAGCAGTGCTAGCTCTGGGGAAAGCATTTGAGGTTCAGGAATTAAATGGAGAACTGGAGGGTCAGGAATGTTTGGGAGGGTTTCCCGGAAAGCTCTGGGTTTGGGAGGAGCAGAGCCTGAGACAGCGGAGGCACTTTGAAGTGCAGCATGACATTTGCATGAGCCCTGTAAGATTTCAGATTACTGAAGGGGAAAGGATTTATGTCTAGTGCTTCTCCAGAGATTTTTCTCTTTTGAGCCTGGCTAAGAAATGTGTGTGAATGCATGCCATTTACAGGGAGAGGAAGGAGGAGGGCTCTTGGGACATCTGCCTATAACAGCTGGAACTCCTGTCAGGGTCCCCAGCTGAGCTAAAAGAGGGCAGTGCCCACTCGTCCACTGGACAGCAAGGTTTGCAAAAGGCTCTTTGCTTCTCAAGTGCTAGTTCTTAGCCTCCTGCAACCCCTGTCCAAATGGGCCCAGTCAGGCAGCATGGCAGCCGCCTGGCATCTATATTTGTCCCTTAGGGGAAGGAATTCCTCCCAGCTGGTCCAGCCAACTTTATCTGAAGACATGTGTCCCTCTGCACTGGCCACAAGGGGGCGCAGAAGAGCCAGTTGGTTGCCTCAGATTCTCAACACCCTTCCCTCTCACAGAAGCCACCCAACCCTTAAGATACCCCAATCCATGCAGTGGTGGTGGTTCTTTCTCAGTTCCCCTCACATCCTCCTAACCTAATCCAGGCAGGGCACTAGAGAACCAGGCTGGAGGCCTTTTGTCATCCTTCCTGGGTGTGTGTGGGGGTGCCTCCCTGTCTGACCATGCCTGTTTCCTCAGCTCTAGTTCCAGGGCCTGCCCAGTCCATGCCAGCAAGCGTCCTGCACACCCCTGCTTTTAGCAGTTCCCTGGGCCTGAGTCTGAGTCCAGAAGATGGGGGTGACTCCCCACCCTCTTGCCCTTCACCCTCTGGGTGTGCGGGGCTTGGACCGACTCCCTGTTTTCAAAGGTCTTGATGACTCATGCCTTTTCCACGTGGTGGTAGGCAGACTGCTTTTCATGCTTACTGCTCACTGGGGCAAGGCTCAGCCTCAGTGACAAGGCAGCAGGGCACATGTTGGCACTGTGTGTACACACACATCACTGCAGGCTACCTTGTCCCATCCTAGGCCATGCTGTCTTAGAAATAAAAACTGGGCCAAGGGAGAAATGCAGAACACAATGAAGATGGGAAGAATGTTGTGCAGCCTTGCCACCATAAGTAAGACCCCATCATTCAGTGTCTCCCTTTAAATGTTTTTATCATTTAAAAAAGGCAGTAGGGCTCACAGGGATTTTCCAAGTGCCCAGGAGTAGTTGGCATGAGTATTTGTAATCCCGTTGGGATTCATGGCTACTAAACTTTTCTTTTCTCTTCCAGGCAGGTAAGAGGGACATGCCAGAGGTGGGGATTGGGGGTATCAGGTTATATTTCCTTATGTGACAATCAAGTCTGAGCAGTGACTTTCCTGTTTCCATAATATGTACTGTGACTTCTTTATCTGACTTCTTTATTATGGGGCTTGCCGTGACTTTTCTTTCTGGGACTTTTCTGTCCTCGGCCCAGCAGAGAGGGAAAGGTGGGGACTCTGACCTGGAGCCTATAGACAGCTGGCTCATGACCCAAGGAATGGTGAGGAGCCACAACTGAGCCGAGTCCGCTGTCCACCCCAGCCCTTTACCTGTGTAACAGTCGATGCCTTCCTCTTGCCACCTGCAGGCCCCTTGTGATCCAACAGGACAAGGCCATGCTCGCTCCTTCAGACGGGGGTGCCAAATTTCCCCTCCTGTCTTTGTCTAATCTCCTTAGACCACAGACCTCCAGTCCCAGAAGTACCTTCTCTGGTTCTCTGCTGAGGCCCATGTCCCTGGGCCTTCTGGGTCTGTGACAGTAGCAGGAGTGAGGGGAGGGCTTTTCCTTCCTTTGTCTCTGGAGCTCTTGGCAGTATTCATTTTTCCAAGATGAGCACAAGACACCGTGGCCTTTGCTTAGGAGGAGCTGGTTCTGAAGGAGCAGACCTGATGCATCTGGCCCTTCAGAGAAGGCCCTGCTAGAGTTTAGTGCCTGGAAATCTGGCAGGCCTCGATTTGGTGGACTTGTATGCTATAGTTATTTATGTCCTCCAAGTTTCCCCAAAGAACTTGAGACCTCTCACAGAAATGCACCCAGTAGGAACAGAGTGAAAAGAAAAGAAAATGATGGGGAGCTTATATAAAACCAGTTAGGCTGGGTACAGTGGCACATGCCTGTAATCTCAGCAACTCAGGAGGCTGAGGCAGGAGGATAATAAGTTCAAGGCCATCCTCAGCATCTTAGTGAGGCTCCTCTCAAAATAAAAAATGAAAAGTGCTAGGAATGAAGCTCAGTGGTAGAGTGCCCCTGCGTTCAATCTCCAGTACAAAAAAAAAAAAATTAAAAATAAATAAACACTGGTCTCATGTAGTAAGAGCTTTTCTGGTGCATGGAGAGAGGGTGACCTCATTTTAGGCCACTTGCCTCAGTGTGACCATTTCACTTCCAATATAGTGGCCAAAGCTCTGGGTCCATGTGGTGGGGCCAGAGGAGAGAAGGTAGAGAAGGAAAGCTGGTTGGCATGGGGAAGGTGCATGGCCACCCCGGGCAACAGGCTGGCCTTTCACCAGGGGAGGGGCCCAGACAGGATCAGCAGGTTCCAGATTGCAGGCAGTGTGGAGTACCTGCCTGAGCATGGCCTTGGGCCAGCAGGAGGCCACAAAGAGCCATGGGTGTGAGCCTGGGCTGTGATGTGTGCACAGCCACCATCCACTCCTTCCCTGAGTGAGTAGGCAATTCCTGCATCAACCTCCAAGGCCATTCCTAGAGATGGGCTGGTCTGGCCTCATTTGCTTCTTTAGGGACAGGCTGAGCCCTGGGTCACATGGGGGCCCAGGCTTCCTAGAAGACCATATCTATTCCATTGTCCAAATTGGGAAGATGGAGCTCATGTGCCCTTGTGCCTACTAATCCTGTAAAAAAGGATACTGCCCTCCCAAACTACCCTGACTATGTCCTTGGCAGCTGGCTGTGGCACCTGCCTCTGCCCTGTCCCCATATAGAGCTCCAGTTTCTGACTTCCCAGAAGCAAACCCAACTAACAGCTAACCTGGTGTCTCACCTGCCTGCCTGCAGTTATTTTTTTCCTTTAAAACAATGTATATTAATTGCTTTGCCTTATTCCACATAGTGTAGAAACTCTGAGTCTTTCGAAACCTTCTGAGTACAAATTCTTTACATGGAAACTTTTTGTACTGTTGAGTTTGACTCGAGGCTTTTCAGACTATTCCTCCCATTCCTTTTGGTTGCAGTGTTGTGGGAAGAGTCTCACAGCTCCTCTGGAAGTAGCACACCTGAGCTGCAGACTTGCTCCTATTGCATTGAAAGTTGGGTGGGTATGTCTCTTTGTGGTCTTGGGACTATGAGAAGCTGCAAAGGAGAGCCTCACCAGGGCCTCTTTCTCCTGGGACTTCAGGTGTAGGGATTTCCAACAAAAAAGTTAGTTAACCATGCCAGATTCATTGCCAGTTGAAAAGAAATGAGCTCTGGCATGAGCCAGGGCTCCCTCCCCTTTCCCCTACCCCTGGGTCCTTGCATCTTTCTGCTTTGCCTGGCTGGTGATCAGCTAGGGATGTCTCCCATTTGCAGGATGCAGCCAGGAAGATGCCCTGGTGTGAATAAATATAAGTCAGAGCAAGTCCAGAAGCAGGTTAGTTAAAAAGAGACTGCTGTTGCAGAAGCCTACCTTGGGATTGGAGCCCTAAAGGCCCCTCCCACTCAGGACAGATGATCAGTAGCCCTGGGAGACCCCCAAACACGACACACCAGAAGTTACAGAGTGCTGACTGTAGCTAAGCAGTTGGGAACACCTCTCCTCCTTCTCTGACTCCTAAAGAAGAGCTGCCTCTTCCTTCAGCTCCAGATGAGAGTCAGCCCACACAGGACAGCCCTCCTGCCCTGGCACCCCAGAGGCCTTTTCTCTTCAGACTCTGAAGACTGGCAGGACTGGCATAAGCAGTGCCTTGGCCCTGCCAGCCCAGCCTGACAGTCCTCACAGGGGTTAGCTTAACAAAGGTCTTGGTCTCTGTGGGAGGATGTCCTAGGGTAGCTCCTCTGGTTGTTTTTTTTTTTTTTTTTTTTTTTCCTTTTCTGTATAGTCTTTCCTTCCTCTCTGTCTCCCTTGTTTAGTGCACACTCTTCTTCAGACCCCTTGGATCAGACCAAGAAGATGCTAAAACCATGGCCTTTTAAGAGCTAACAGTCTTCTTAGGGACCTCCTGGGCCAGCCCCCCATTTGGCAGATGAGGATGCTGAGGCCTCCCAGGGACCTGGTGACATGAGTGAAGCCACAGGGCAGAGACACAGAATCCCCTAAGACTTGGTGCAGTGCTTCTTCCCTCGTCATACCCCCCCCCTCCACACACACACACCCCAGCCTTAAGATAGCAGCTTCCTCTCCCTGTCAACCTCTGGAGTTCATATTTTCTTGACAGTATACTGTTTAGTCTGGGGGCGATAGCACCTACAGGACCTTGGCCCTGTTGGAGTACTCGAGCTACTTAGTTTAGATAGCTAATGTTTTGCTTCCAAACACAAAGTCAACCCCTGCCTTACATTAAGTAATCTCATTGATAAACAACACCTGGCCCCTCGGTGCTTCATGCTCTGAGGCCCAGTGCCTTTCACTGTACAGTCATTCCCGATAATCCAACCTCCCTGGATGTCTGAATTAGAAAATAAAAGGTCAATCTGGAACGTAGGAGGTCCTGAGTCATGAGTGTTGAAAACCAAGTACCACCTGGCAGTCACCCTATTTCTCAGGTGAAATAGCTGAGGCCATGCTTTGCCCAAGCCCTTACTTTGACCTCTCCACCCAAACTTCTGAGTCTTCTTAGGACAGAAGAAGCCAGGTATGGTGGCGCATGCATGTAATCCCAGCAACTCTATAGGTTGAGGTAGGAGGATCGCAAATTCAAGGCCAGCCTGAGCAACTTAGTGAGACCCTAAGCAGCTTAGGGAGACCCTGTCTCAAAAACTAAAAAGGGCTAGAGTTGTGGCTCAGTGGTTAAGTGCCCCTGGTTCCATACCTGGTACAAAAAAGAAAAAGAAAAGGCTGAAGAAACAGGTCCAAAGAGACTCCCCAAGACCAGATACCAGAAAGATCTGCAGCCCAGCTGGGAGCCCAGCCCTACCTGCTGCCCGCACTTTCCTGCTCAGGCTCCTAGGATTTGGTCTGGAGGCCACCATTCTATAGACACAAATCTGACTCCCTCAGACACATCTAGAAAAGGAAACAGCAGGATCTCCATGATCCAGCTTGTGAGGAATTTTTTTTTTTTAAGGGATGAGGAATTTCTCAGATGCCAGCATTTACTTTCTGAGTGTACTGGTTCTCAAAATTAATCCTCAAAGAAAATTGTAACATGACCCAAAGCTCAAGGGATTTATTTATTTTTACGGGTCTAGGAATGGAACCCAGGGCCTCACGCATGCTAGACAGGTGTTGTACCACTGAGCTACACCCTCTGCTCTCTATGTTTTACTAGTAACAACAACAATAACAACAACAACAAAAAATTATAAGAAAAAATATTTTAAGCTCAATGAATTTTTTTTTTGCAGTGCTAAGAATTGAACCTAGGGGTAGGGGTACTCTACCACTGCACTATGTCCCTAGCCCTTTTTATTTCTTATTTTGAGACAGGTTCTTGCTGAATTGCTCAGGCTGGCCCCAAACTTGAGATCCTCCTGCCTCAGCCTCCTGACTTGCTGGAATATGGACAAGTGCCACTATACCCAGCTAGGCCCATGACTCTAAATGGCTTTTTCCAAGCTTTGGTAAAACATTGAAAAGTTCAGTGGTAGAATGTTTGCCTAGCTTTAGGTATGAGGCCCTGGGTTCCATTCTCAGCACAAAGAAGGAAGGAAATGAAAAAAAAAGCTCAGTCCATGAAGTCTCAATCTCTTCTAGGTGGATTGAGGCTGGATACATATATAAAAGTGCCTGTGTGTGCTCTGGTAGCTGTTGTAGGTTGATTTTTCTCTTTGGGAAAGCTGCTGACTTTATTGGGGACTTGGCATGGCATGTGTCCTCCCCAAGCCAGGTATTCTGACTTACAGGCATCCAGATCATGAAAATTTGGCATCTCCTGTTCCAGGAACATGTCAAGGCAGAAGGCCTACCAGCCAGCATCACATAGCAGGTGGCACCTGCTGGGCCCTGCTGCTCTTTGATGGGGAAGGTGGGTGCCCATCTTAGGCATTCATGCCCCCACCCCAAGTGAGTAATCACATGTTTTCTGTCCCTAGGATTCATGTCAGGGTGATAAGAATGCCCTGGAATTTTTTCAGTTCAACAATCTGAAGTCCCCAAGTAAGTCTAAGGACCAACATGGCAACATAGAGAGAAACTCCCTACTGTGGTCAGAGGTTAGCTCTGGCCTTTCTGAAGATGCTCATGGGGCTCCCCATGTTGGGTTGAACTTAGGGCATAGCATGACCTGGAGCCAGGGGTCAGCCAGGCTCACTGGGGAAGGGAGTGAAGCACTCTCGTGACACTGCAGACACCTGCTCAGTGTGTATCCAGCCTCCCCAAAAGGCAACCAGTGTCAGCCTCTGGGACTGAAATTATCACATCGAGGCTAGTGATACAAGTTCTTTATTTTTTTCCTTTGCTGTTAGTTTTACACTTGGTTAATGCTGAAGCAGTCTTCCTATTGCTTATTTTAACTTTATTCTAACTCTGGATCATGACATTGGGGTGTAGCCAGCTATAGACATAGTACTGATTTTTTTTTTTCTAAAAAGAGTGAGCTGGCAAATGAGTCCCCTGGAGAGTACAGCCCAGGCCCAGGGAGATAAGGAGGCAGGTCACCCTGATTAAGGGTCATCACCCCACTTGTCTAGGCTGGGAGCCAATGTTTCATGAATGTGGCTTCTAGGGGGTTAAAGGTTACCTTCTTCTTATCACATCATACCTGACAACAGCTTTAATATTTTTAGCCACACATATTTTTCAGAATCTGCCCTTAGTGCCCTTGGCCTGGGTGGCCCAGGCCTACTGACTGCTCAGGCACCTGTGAGGTTTCTTGGGGAGCTCTGTCACCTCCCTGGCACCCTGGCTGCTCTGCTCCCCAGTCCTCAGCAAACTTCTTTTCATTGACTACTGAAGCACAGACAGCCATTGAAAGCTATGAAGAAAGGATGAGACTAAAGGAGGCTGTTGAGTTCAGGGCTGCTATGTGATTTCTTTTCCTCATAAAGAGACACAAAGAAGACTAAAGCTCCATGGTCCCTTTTGTCATCAAAGCTCTGGCTTGGACTGTATTTCCGTTGGTTGCAAAGCATGCCTACCTCTGTCAACCAGGCCGCATCTAGGCTGACGGAGCACACGCCCCCCTGCTCTCCCTTTCCACTCAGGAATGCACCCAGATGCATTCTGCAACACGTTTGGCAGCGTAGACAGCACCCCAGGTGTCTTCTGGGACGGAACTGCCCTGCCCTGCATCCTGCTCCAGTCAGGCCGCCACACACCTCCCTGTGGCATCAGGAACCCACTCCTGGCTCCTCAAGTCACTCCCTGGATCAGGCTTGACCGAGAGCAGTCATTCTCCTGCAGTCACGTCCAGTTAGCTCAGAATCAACCTGCAGCACCAGCACGTTCCTGAGATCACAAGGTGCTCTTCATTCCAAGTCCAAGAGCCCCTATGATTAAAGGGCACACACCCGTAGTCAAAAAGTTATCCATTTCAAGAACGCGTACTGCCACCTTCCCTGCCGCTGGCCCCTGCCAGTTAGCCCTGCTTCTTATAATTTGCCACCTCATTGCTTTCCTCACCTGCCATTTCATATGTGGCTGCCCTGTGCTGCCCGTGCGTGCCATGCCAGTTGTTTTTTTTTTTTTTTTTCCTCGTGTATGTTTTGGTTTTGTTTGGGGTTGCTTTGACGATTTACTTTGTTCCGGTGTTCTGTCTTCTCTCGCCTGGCTGTGTGGGGCTGCCTGCCCCGCTGCTTGCCGCCTCCATAGATCCCCGTTGCGCAGCCCTCTGTCATGGACGACATTGAGGTGTGGCTCAGGACGGACCTGGTGAGACTCGACTTTTTATTTTGTGTGTGGGGTGTGGCCAGGCAGAGGCTCTTCTGAGGACAGGCCTCAGGGGCTGCGCCACCATCAGGGTGGGTGGAGGAGGGAGGTCAGGGTAGACAGGGGTGCTGTAGCCCCCATTCATCTCAGCTTAGCTTGCTCTCCAACGTAACCTAAGCCAGGGTGGCGCCTACAGCCAGCACCAGGCCTGGGCGGCTGCTGTGACAGGTAGCAGCTCAGGGCACAGTCCTGCAGTGTGGACAGGTCCTCAGCTGGCACACTACCCCACCATGAGAACAGCCGGCTCCCAACAGGCACCTGTCTCCTCCCCAGTTTTTATTTCAATTTCGAAGGTGTGTGCATGCTAAGGGGAGTTTTTTTTTTTTTAACACTTTTTAGTCGTAGATGGACACAATATCTTTATTTCATATATTTTTATGTGGTGCTGAGGATTGAACCCAGTGCCTCATGCATGCTAGGCAAGCACTCCACCCCTGAACCCCAACCCCAGCCCTGAGGGGAATTTTGAGAGAGTATTGTTTTGTTTTGTTTTGTTTTGGGGATTTTCCTTTTTATTATTATTTTTCATTATTATTTTTATTTTGGCAGTGTTGGGTTGGGATACGTGGCCTTGTACATGCTAAGCATACACTGTACCTCTAAGCTACGCCCCAGCCCTCATTTCTTTTTCTTTTTTCCTTTTTTTTTTTTTTTTTTTTTTTTTGTGTGTGTGTGTGGTGCTAGGGATTGAACCCAGGGCCTTGGGCATGCAAGGCAAGTACTCTACCCACTGAGCTATATCCCCAGCCCTCTTTTATTTTTTTTCTTAAATTATGAAATATGCACACAGATGAATAGGGTCGTTTTAAAATGACAATCATCCCCCTTCCGGATATCTTCTAGTATTTTGGATTTAAAAACCCCTCCCCCACTTAGGGCTGCACCTGTAGCTCAGGGGTAGAGCACTGGCCTAGCACATGTGAGGCACTAGATTCAATCCTCAGTGCCACATGAAAATAAATAAAATAAAGGTACTGTGTCCCTCTACAGCTAAAAATATATATAAATAAATAAAAGACAAGAACCCCTCCCCCAAAAGCCATTGTCTCCAATCTATGAAACCGAGTGAGAAGCTGAGGTTGTTGTGAATCTGAAAGTGGTAACAGATCCCTCCCTTTGTTCCCTACAAAGCTCTTTGGTCCTCAGCAGCCCTGGGAAGTGCCTTTCCCAGGGTCATGGGCTGGCGGGACTCTGGCAGACCTGGAGACCTTATCTCTTCCTCCTGGCTGTCTCCTTGTTGGGGGATCTTCTCCCCAGAGCAGCATAACCTCTTTGGTGCTTTAATCTCAGGGTCAGCCTGGTGGCCGTGGCTGATGACTCAGCCACCTCCTACAGGAGGACAGCAGGCCTCAGATTGAGGTTCTCACTGCTTCCTCCCTGGGAGGCCAGGCTTTCCAAGACACTGCCAAGGGAGGCAGCCACCCAGGGGCCAGGGGAGGAAGAAGAGGCCCCACAACATCTTTCTGAAGGGGATGCCTGGGAAAGAAATACCTTCCCTCACAGAAGCAAAGAAGGAAGGGCTAAGGCCCTTACAAGGGGGACCCCCCGGGTCCAGAGAGGGGAAGGGACCTGTCCAGCAAGGCTACAGAACAGGTCAGTGGCAGGAATGGGAAAGGACCCAGGCCTCCTAACCCAGGGTGGGGTTCTCACTCTTCATTGGCCTCCTTCCTGATGAGGCCTTAGCATGTGCAGTGTTCCCAGACACAATCAAGTGTGATGTGCTTCCGTTTTCATGTGTGCACAGCCTCCACGGCCCCCTCAGAGCCAGCAGCTGGGATGGACCTGGGCTGTGGGGAGAAGGTTGTGCAGCCCCAGGAGGTTTCAGGACACTTCACAGGGGACAGCCTCCACGGCCACAGCACCTCCTGAGTGCCAGGCCGGGGGCTATCCAGGCTCTGTGCAGCTTCCAGCTGTTGGTATGGACAGGGCCTTCCTAGAACCCCTGCACGGGTACCCTGGCAGCAGGTACCCTGTGTAGAGGGGCACATATGGGGACTCCAGTGCACCTCCTGCTCAGTCTCCTGTGGCCACCCCTGTCTCTCCCCAGAGCCTAAAGGATGTCAGTGGGTGAGGCCTGCCCTTCTTGTCCCAGGCCAGGACCCACCCCGCACCAGTTTTGGATTTTTCTTTCTGGCCCTTCTGGGAAATCAAAACCTACAATTTATTTAGCTTTTTGGTTTTTTTTTTTTTTTTTTTTTTTTTTAATGCTTCTTCAGAAAGAGCAGTATTTTGCTATTATAGAAATCTGGAAACAGGGAAATCAGAAAGTTTCCCTTGGGCTGCCCTGGGCAGTACTCTCCTGGGTTTGGCTACAGGTGGGCAGAGGTGGCTGGGCAGTCAAAGTGGGGACCACCAAGCCCTAATGCTGCTCTCTCTGCTCTTCCCACAGAAGGGCGATGACCTGGAAGAGGGAGTCACAAGTGAAGGTAGGCCCAGCCAGTGGCCTTGCAACCCCCCACCCTCTGTTGTTCCTGCCCCAGGCTTTGGCACAATCACCATGAGCCTCTGTTGTCAGAGTCCCTGTGGGTGCCAGGCCCTGAGCCACTGCCTGCGTGGGGGCTTGGTCCAGTCCAGTCTCATGCAGATGCAGAGAGTGTCATTTTCCCCATCTTTAAGGGAAACAGAGGTCAGGAAGAACATGACTTTCAGAAGGTCACAGGGCTGGTGAACAGTGGGCACACCCACCCTGGGGCACAACCCAGTCCATGCCCCTCTTGCCCCTGCTCTTGTGGTCAGATGGCCCACGCCGAGCACCTCGAAGACCTGCCCTCTGTGCTGGGTAACCCCCTTCCCTAGTAGCTCTTTAGCCCCTTCCTGTTTCTGGTGAGGTAGGGCAGGTGTTCTCTGCCGAGTCTAAGGAGGAGTTCACTGACTCTGCCTGCCCTGCCTCCAGTGCCAATGGAGGTGAGGATTAGAGGGGGTATGCGCTGTTTTCCAATTCACAGGCCTTCACGGAGCCCTCTCCCCATCTTTCCCCACAGTGCAATGCATGTAGCCCTTCCCGCCCCTACTTGTCTTCAGAAGGCAGGGGAGAAACAGGTGAGGGAGTGGGGAGGATCCCTGGGGCTGGTCCCTAGAAGCACCCATGCTCTGGCTGCTCCCCCTACCACCCCCCTCCCCTCCCAACTGGTGGCCCCACAGTTTCGTTCAGGCTGAAGCTGGGAGGCATTGGGGTGCAGGTGGGGAGACACCTACAGGGAGAAGTGGAATGAACTCCAGGGAACAGGTGGGCTATACCCTCCACCAACCCGGGCCCTTGCCTTGGTTTGTATTACAGAATTTGATAAGTTCCTGGAAGAAAGAGCCAAAGCTGCTGAGATGGTTCCTGACCTCCCCTCACCCCCTGTGGAGGCCCCCACCCCAGCCTCAAACCCTTCTGGCCGGAAGAAGCCAGAGCGGTCAGAGGATGCCCTCTTCGCCCTGTGAGCTGTTCTGCAGTTTGCCTCCACCATGGCAGGTTACCGCTTGCTCCCCCAGTGGACCCTGGGCACTGGCCACTCCTCCCTACCCCTGACCCGCTCCTTTGCACACCCGTGTCTCCATGGAAACACCACTGTTTGTTCCCAGGCATTCCCTAGTCAGGGCCAGCTTTCACCACTCTTTCTCCAAGTGGTGGGACAGAGGCTGCAGTGAGGCCCTGCTCCCCGCCTACCAGGCTTCCCTGACTGGCTGGCTGTGTGTTCTCCCAGGAAGAGCCAGTGGCCTGGCCCCAGTGGGGGAGCCCCCATGACACTGTTCCTGAGCAGATCCCATGGACTGTCTCCCCATCACCTGCCCATGGAGAAGAGGGTCAGGCCTCTGCCTGCCACATGTGCCCTGCCTCTGCATGGCCCGGTGGCTTCCCTCAGGCATGCTGCCCCCTCTTCCAGAAAGGGTTTTGTGGCACTGCCTCTGGAAGAACAGGGCTCAGTTGGTTGTACTTACAGGCTCAGTCTCTGTCCTTTGACTGTATGTCACCTTGTGGCACCTTGGCACTTTAGAGTGGGTCTATGGGGCACCCACATGTGGCTTTCATGCCCTTGACCCTCTCTCCATCAGTCACCTGCTGGCCCAGGCCTTGTGCCCCAGATGGCTGAGCAGCTGAGCTTGGCTCTAACTGGCCCCAGAAGGACCTGTGGCTCAAAGTCAGGAGGGCAACATGCAACCTGTACACAATGGCCATGTGGCACGCTGATCAGGTAGCATTACCATGAACCAGACCCCCCCTCCGCATATCCTGCACACTCACACCCACATACTTTGGCTCCGGGGTGTGCAGGAGGCTCTTGTAGGAGGCACTGCTCTGACTGCTTGGAAGTTACGTGGGTTTTCTACACTCCATGCTTGGGGCTCTGGCCTGGCCTGAGTGTCCTCCACACCCTACCTCCAGAGCCATCAGCAGACAGCACTGCACAGTGCCTGGAGGTTCCACATGACCCAGTGGCCAGAATAACATGAAGGTCCCTGGCATGGGCCTTGGCCTCCTCCCCAAGCTGTCCTGACAGGCTGACTTCCTCCCACTGCACATGTCCCCCCAGCCACTAATTTGCAGTCTCTCCCAAACAGACCTTGAAAGCTGTCAGCCTGGGGCTAAGAAAATGGGGGCTGGTGACACCTGCTCCTGTCCTTGCTGGCGTGTCTCTTGGCCATGAACTCACAGCGCTACCCAAGCCCTGGTCCTGCTGACAACCTTTCCTTCCCATTTGACAGGATGGCCCAGAGGATGCACCTGTCACCGCCAGAGCACCAGCCCCAGCAGGGAAAGGAAGCCAGCTGCACAGGCACAGGGACAGTGACCAGGCTCTGGGAAGCATTTAGGGCCAGGTCTGCAGTAAGGGCCCTGCTGAGGAGTAGCAGGAACAGCCCCACCCCAGAACCCCATGCTCAGCCTAGTTCTGTGGAGACACCCAGGAAGCCCCTCCTCAGAGCTCCCAGCCCTCTCCTCCTTGGAGCCCATGTCCCTCTTTTACTCTCTGCTCCCTGGCCGTTGGTCAGCACACGCCCCTTGCAGCACCTCTCAAGGGCAGAGCTCCTGAGGCCTGCTTAGGTATAAAACTTCAAAAGGAGGCTGGCTTGAGTCAAGCTGAAGAGAAGGTAACTGGGGTGGCCCAGAGGTCTCAGCTCTTTGGAATAGTCTGGGGGTCAGAGCCCACCTTGGCCAGCCTGCCGGAGCCACAGGTGATGGCAGCCAGGTCCAGCAGCCTCCTGCCTTGAGGAGGGTGCAGAGAGAAAGAGGGAACTCTTTTTGAAGTGAGTGAGACTGATATAAATGCCATCCTGGGGTCCCCAGCAAAGTCCTATGTCCAAAGCTGTCCCCCAAATCCAGCTCCAGCTGGTTGGTACAGGTTGGAGAGGTTTGGCAGCCCTATGGCAGCAGTTGGTGAAGGACCCCTGTGGGCCAGCAGGAGTCCTCTAGTGTGCAGACAAAGGTCCCCTGCCTTTGTGGCCTGGAGCTGGTGACTCAGAGATCTCCTGCTCCTACATCCTGTCAGGAGGCAGAGGGGACACAGGCCTGAGGCCTGCCCTGGGAGCATGTACAGGCAGGTGCCCTGAAGGACGCACTGCTCAGCTCTTGCAGGGGTGTTATCTGAGACCTCTGGCTCCCACTTACCCCTGCCATCTGGGGAGCACAGTCCTGAGGTCACCTGCTTAGGGCAGGGAGCAGAGCCCTGGTGGTGGGAACGCTGGACCCTGGCAAGCCACCAGCCTCCAGAAGTGTTAGAAATCACAGATACAGTATGTACTTAATTACACTAAATTATTGCTGGGATTCCTCATAAGCACTAATTATATCTGATTATAGGTTAAAATATTTATTTTGTCAAAATATTTTCTTGGGGATGTGTTTAACCTTTTTTGTGCTCATTGTGTGCTGAGATGTGAAGACTAACTGTTTCCTCCTGCCTACCTTTTTGGCCAGCGGACAACAGTAAATGGCACTATATGCAGTTTGACCCCCATGTGGCAGGCTCTGGCCTGCCTGCTGCAGAGTGGTCCCTGCCCAGGCACACAGCAGCTGGACTGTGGCCAGACTGAGAATGACCAATAGTCGTGGGACACGGGGTTTCAGAAGTGAAAGGGCTTGTTGTCAGCCCAGGTCAGAGGGAAAAATGATTGTCTATGTCTGTCCTCCCGTCTGTCTGTCAGCCCCTCTGTGAGTGACCGTGCCTTGGCTCACTGTCCTTCCTCCTCTCCCACCCATGGTCTTGGGGCCTGTGCTGTTACTGCAGCCCCTTAGGAGGTGAGAATTGGGCACTCCGTAGTGTTCTCAGCTCAGAGTGATGGCCAGGGCTCTGCAGGCCCGGCTGTAGTGCTCCTGTCCTTCCTCCCTTCCTGCCTTCCTCCATACCCCATTCCTGTCCCTCCTTCCTGTCACTGCAAATGCCCCTCCAACTGGAGCCCAGGGTGGTTCTGGATGGTTCAGGGTGGGCCATGGGCCTCCTAAGAGCCAGGTCAACCCCCTGGCAGCTGGGGAAGAGCCCTAGGGAGAAGTGCTGGCTCTTAGCCTCTTGCACTACCAGGTGGGGCCTGCGAGACTCCATGGTCTGTTGTCAGCCTGCTGATGAGACATCTGGGCTCCTCCTCCTGCTCAGCCACACAGGGAAACAGCCACTCTCCCTCACCCAAGGAATGTTCCCACCCCAAAGATGCTCGGGCCCTGTAGTACCTGCCTTTCCCAGGCCCGTCTCCAGCCCTGCTGTCCATGGGGATCCAGGCCAGGCTCCCCTGTGGCCACCAGACTCCGGAGCAGCTGTCAACCGCTGCATCATGACTGATTTTGTCACAGTGTCCCAAATCTCCAGGTTCTCCTGGAGAATGGGGGATGGATCTTTATTTCCTGAAGTTTGCACTTAATTTGTGACTGTTTCAGAAGAGGAATGTGTTGAGTCCTTTGTCCCCTCGTTCCAGAAGTCTGGTGTTCTTGTCACTGTCCTGTGTTTCTGTGGGCAGAGCTGGTTCTGGAGGGCGGGTCAGTGATCGAAAGTCTCAGAGGGACACTGGAGCATCCACCTGCCCCACTGGCTCTCCTTCCAGATACCATCTCTCTAGTTTGGGTTCTTGCATGTAAAGTAATCCACAATAAATAAATACTTGAACAAACTGTTCCTGGGTGGCCTCTGTGGCGTTTGCTCTGACTGTTTGGGGGGCCTGCCAGGTCAGACCACTTGCCTTTCATCAGGGGCTGCCTCAGGGCTGTGCTGGGGTAGCTGCCAGGAATGCCCTGTCCCTCTCCCTGCTGCCCAGCTGCCAGGCCATGAAAATCCCTAAGCACTAAGCACAGATAGCCACTGATGGTAGCAGCCACAAGGCCGTCACAGCCTGCCTGAGAACTCTAGGGTCAGGTGCTATAGGTCTTTCTGTGTCTTACTTCAGGTCCCAGAGTTGCACAGGGAGGCCAGTCACCCCTGCCCAGAGCAAGCAGGCTGGAGGCACACCCTGAGCCCACCTCAGCTGGGCTCCACTTTTGGTCAGGTATCAGAATCTTCGGCAGAGCCTATGCCCAGCACTGAATTGAAGAGCCACTGCTCCAAGGCAGACAGATCTTTCTTCCCCTCACCTTTTAATAACAGCTTTATTGAGATAAAACTGACATTACCAGCTAAGTGCACTGTTTACTTGGAAGGCTGAGGTAGGAGAATCACAAGTTTGAGACTAGCCTCTGCACCTGAGCAAGACCATCTTTTGAAACATAAAAATAAATAAATAAAAGGGCTGGGGGATGTAGTTCAGCAGTAGAGAACCCCTGGGTTCAACCCCTAGTTCCATAAAAAATACCTAAAATTAAAAATCATCACTCACTATTTACCCACTTAAAGTGTACAATTGAGTAGTTTAGGGTATGGGCACAGGTCACAGGGTTGTACGGCCATCACCACAGTCATGCACTATGGCCCTGAAAGAGGGCTGAGCAGTGTCCCTGCCTGTGGAGAGCAAGTCAGACCTGAGACACTACCCTGGACTTGCCAGGATACCCGGTCAACTCATGCTTTCAGCCAATGTCCCTGATAGCCTGTTCTTTGCCAGGTTGGTGCTGAAGGGGAGGGAGGCAAAGGGAGGGTGGCTCCAGTCCTGCCCTTGGGGAGCTGGGTTCCCAGAATCAAGGACAATCTGCAGCTCAGAAGCCCTAGAGTCCTCTTCCAGGGTCTGCAGGGAGGTAAGGCTCTGCCGTCTGGGAGTAGCTGAGCCCCAGAACACTCAGCTGCCAAAGAGCTGTTTCAGTCCGTAGGCCAACAGCAAGAAGGGGAGGGCACTCATGCAACTGACTCTGCTGACCAGCCTCCTGGGAGGGACTCCATGATCCCTGGTGAGCATTCACTAAAGTGCATTTCCCCAAATACAGTAGTAGCTATTCCTAAAAAAAAGAGGGGCAGCGGCACACGTGGCTCAGGAGGCTGAGACAAGAGGATCATGGGTTCAATGCCACCCTCAGCACCTTAGCGAGGCACTTTGCAACTCATAGAGATCCTGTCTGTATATAAAATATGAAAGAGGGCTGAGGATGTGGATCAGTGGTAAAACACCCCTGGATTCAATCTTCAATGCCAAAAATAAAAGGGGGGGGAGGGGGTTGTGTGGAAATGTTAAAGTTTAGCAGCATTAGGAATTCTTTGTCCATGATGAAGGGAGTTTGCAAGCCAAATTTCTCAGAAATTAAATATGGGATCTTTTTTGGTCGTGGCAGAAATTACTTAATTAGAAAGAGAAATTTACTGGTTTAAGTAACTGAATATCAGCTTCAGGAATAGCTGAATCCAGGTGCTTATGGATTTGATCAGGAATCTGCTTCTCTGTGTGTCTTGGCTCTGCTTTCTCTGGGTTGGCTCTTCTCTGTGGCTGACTATAGGCTGCCTGCAGCTCGAGGCGGACATCCTACTGGCAGAAGATGCTTCTTTCTCAATAGTTCCCATAAAAGTCCAAGAACTGACCCTGAAAATCAGGTTGTTAGCAGAAAAAGGATGAAATCTGGGTAGGCGTGAACAATAGATGGTCACTGTGGTGTCAATGGAGAGGGCCAGAGGCGGGAGTGATTGATGTTCCTGGGGTCACAGGCTTGGACAGAGACAAACTTCTGGACTCATCTCTCAGTGCTCCCTCCTCAGTCCTCAGTTACTTCCAGTCATGTCATTGGAGCCCTGAGAGGACAGGAGCTGCTTTCCAACTATAGATTCCCTCTCCAGAAATCTGGAAGGGAGCAGTGCAGGTGCACTGGTATCCTGCAGTAGCTCATGGCCATCTGCCCACTCATCTCTGCCTGAGCACCTGAGAAGGGAATCCTTGCCATTCACCTCTTTTCCAAGGAAAGAGTCTTTGACTGGAAGGAATGGCACATGCCTGTAATCCCCAGCCACTCAGGAGGCTAAGGCAGGAGGATCTCAAATTTGAGGCTAGCTTGGACAACTTAGCAAGACCCTGTCTCAAAAACTAAAAAAGGGCTGGGGATGCAGCTCAGTGGTAGAGTGCCTCTGGACACTCCAGTACTCCAAGAAAAGAAAAAGTCCTTAGAAGGGAGACAGAACCCAGACATGTTGGATAGGCATGTCTCACCCAGAAAGTCTATCCAGGTATTTCAGAGGGAACCCTGTTGGAGCTTTCTGGGTGACCCACAAATGCCCTGTCTAGGGCCTCTGAGGCCATGCCCTCATCATCTCAGGAAGCAAAACCTCTACTTTCTGCACCAGGGAGTCAGTCTGGGATATTTCTGGAAGAGGAGTGGACTCCATGTCTGGGGCCATCTCCTCCCCACTCTAAGGCTGCTACTCTAAAGGCAGCTTGCCTGGGGTGCTGGGTAAATCACTGTTCCTCTCTGATCTTCACTATCCTGTCTGTAAAATGGGATTGTGGGCAAGAAATTCAGTGCCTACTTTCATTTATAAATGAGAAAGTGGGCTGGGTATGACACCAGGAAGTGGTAGGGACCATGGAAAAAGAGCTGGCTCATGAGGCAGCTAACTGTCAAGTCCAAGGTTGACCCACAGTTCCACTAAAGAATGGGCAGCAATCCAGCTACGAGGTGAAATTTCCTTCTTTTGACAATTCAAAGTCATAACCCACTTATGACTGTATTTGGCTGATGGGGGTCAGATGATGCCTGAGATCCTGTGCCTTCCTGCCACCAACTAGACCCACACTATTCTGTGACTCCCCTTCAATATGCACTTGGCCTTTCCCCAAACAGCCAGGTAGCCCCAAGGGATAGGGATCCCATCCCTCATCCTCTCAGTCTGTGAACCTCACCCTCACTGTGCAATAGGCTTTGGGGCTCAACCAGCTCTTTTGTGGCTCTATCAAGTGGCTAGAAGTGCCCACCAACAGTCCAAGCCTCCATGGGTAAAGGTGGCCGTGGAGGCTGAGAGGACTAGAAATCATTTGTCCAGCTCACTGCAGAGGCCAACTGGAATGAGGCCACATCTAGGACCAGAATCATCCATGTCATGGTCATCTGTCTCTATGATATACAGATGGAGAGATGGAAGGAGGAGAACTCTGGTCTCTCTTCTCATTGCCTAGAGATGGGGACGTACCCCAGGTACATCCTAGTTCAGCTCCTGCAGCAATCAATTAATAGGGCCAGGCAGAGTGGCAAGGGCTGAAGGAGCAGTCTTACTAGCCTAGTAAACCCTCAAAGGTGTGGGCCCCTCCAAATCGAACCTGCTGCAGGCACCTGGGGCATGGTTCCGCACCACTGACCCTATGGGCTCTGCCCACGCTGAATACCTGGCAGGTGCCCCAAAGGATTGGGAACCCATAGCAGCTGCCTTCCAGTTTGTACGACCTCGGGGACCAAGTGGGTCCCAGTTGATAAAACCAAGGTCAGGCAAGGGATCGGACTGGGTTACCTAGGAGGAACCCCAGGCTCCCTGAGCGCCCGCACAGTCCCAATAGCAAAAGGCCACCGGGGCGGTCCCGGGTCAGCTCGCTGACCAAGATGCGCACCTGGCTTCAGTGCCAGCCAGGTGTCAGGCGGAGAGCGCCCAGCCCGCCAGCGCCGGGCCCTTCCCCGCCCCCGGGTCCAATGCGCACGGCGCATGTGACCCAGGGCCCGGCTCCCGGGAGGACGCGCTGACGCCGCGTCACCCCATTCCGGGCCGAGCGCCCCATTGGTTGCGGCGGCCCGCGGGGGCGGGGCTCGTCTGGCTCCGCGCCCCGACTCCCTGGTCTGCAGCCGCTGACCTGCCCTGGCAGCGTGTGCGTCAAGCCTGGCTTTCTGACTATCCCCGGCCCTGGCAAAATCAGGGCAACAGCGCTGGGAGGCCCTGGGCTGGTCGCTTCAATTCCTTGAGCCTCAGTTACCTCATCTGTAAAATGGGATGGGGACAATCCTCTTCAGGATGTTGGGAGGAAAGAACGGGTTAATATAAGGAATGTATATGCACATCATAAGTATGCTCAATGGCTCAGTGATTATAGACAGTGGCCAAACCTGCCAACTGAGATCACTTGTCCACCAGACTGAGATCCTGCCCACTCCTGGGTACACCAGGACAGAAAGGTTTGTGCCCTAAGCGCCAAGGCTCAGAACTCTCCAGCCAAGAATGGCCTGAGGGTCCTATTTAGAAGTCTAGGGATCCTTGGGGAGAAACCACCCAGACAAGCAGATTCCCCTGAAGAACTGGAGCCTTTAGCCTGACTCTCGTGTTGCTGGTTGCCTGGGTGATCCTAGGCTATGGGGCAAAGATTTGTTTTGGTGGCAAAGACTCCCTCACCCTCTACAGGGGGCTTCAGCCAAGTTTCTGTTTCAACTAGCTTTTCTAGTCTGGGGTGCAGGTTTTATGTTGACCTTGACTTACTTTTTCCCCTCTCTTGAATTCCTGTAATTTTGAAGTCCATATTTATTGAGCTGTGCACTTCACATATGTGCTAAACTCGTTACAAGAATAGTGAATTGAGAACATTGAAAGCAGATCTGTTGCAATCGATGCACTCATGCAATCGATGACTCCAAAACCTTAGCTGCTTTGGCAAAGTGACAAATCTAAGCTAAAGACTCAGGAAAGTGAAGTGATCCCAGGTCATATAGCAAGCAGGTGAAAAACCAGATCAGCTGAGTGAATAAGGTGGTCCTGAACTTTACTTTACCCAGTACCCCCTACTCCCACCTTTTGGG